CAGGTACAGATATTCAACAGTTCTTCAAATATGAGTTGAGTGCCTTCCCGTCCTCACTGTTTGCAGGAGCTTTCATGCGACATGTAACCAAGTCCGATCTCGCTGAGCATTTGCTCAAGAACGTTTCACCCGTTTCGAACACTTCGCTCGCCAGTGAAATAACTGTCATTGATGGAGGTCTGCTAATCAACTTTGTAAGGTGGAATAAGGGTACGAATATCTCCAACATCTTAGAAAACTATCGGTCATTTGTAAAAAGATTTCCCTCGCCAATAGTCGTGTTCGACAGCTATGAACCAAATACGACAATTTGGTGAGGGAAATCTGGTTGTTTCGGATTCGGTAAATTGGGACTTCTTAAACATACGAACAGTGACATCTTTCAGGAAGCTAGCAAGACAATAGCTTCACCTGGAAGTTCCCAGTTCGAAGTATCTGAAGCTGGGGAAAGGTTATTCTGTGCAATGTCAATGTATGGTCACAAAAATGAGATATCTCCGACTAAAGTCCGGTACCTAAGGTACAAAGCTATGATCGCTGAAAACATTTCCATTTAAATCAATAGACTTCACTCAACAGCTGCTGCGGCCGAGCAGCATGCTCACCGCATTCATGTTGAGGTTAGAATTTGGGATGAACTAGACAATGGCGTCGATCCTGTGAATTGGGGTTGGCAAGTGATAGAGAATAGATACGTTCCCATCGCGACTGTTCTTCCATCAGCACCAGACAACGTTCTGAATTTCATCTGGTGTAAATGTAAATCGTTGAAACAACAATGCTCGTCATGTTCTTGTACACAGAATGGTTTGAAATGTGTTGAAGCGTGTGGAGGATGCCACGGGGAGGGTTGTCTCAATAGCGAACAAATCAGCATTGATTTAGAAGATGAAATTTGTACGGGGTAGAACAAATGATCCGAACGAATATTTTATTCCTCTTGTCTATTTGCTTGCTTTATTCACAACACGTCTCCGCCATTTTGAATTTTGACATCACAGTGGCGTCATAGTTCCGCCATTTTGTATTCTGACGTCACGGTGACGTCGTACATTACTATTGACGTCATTTCTGGATTCCTTGGTATCACTTTCCTATGTTGATAATATATTTCTAGGCTGTAAAATTGATATTCTTGAAGTTATAAATGGTTTTCAGTTTCATTATGTTGACCCAGGGTGTCAAAATTTCAAAATGCTGTAAAAAAATTTTGCTCAACTCCGATCGGCGGGGAAAATTTTTCTGGAACACTAGGGACATAATTGTTTCAGAAAATGAAGAAATCATTTGGGTAGGAATTTCTTCCCGCAAATTTTCTACCCCGACCAGACTATAAATGCATCCTAACACAAGGTACAATTTTATGGATACACAATTACTGAGTTTAATACTAAGCGACGTTTCGACGAGGATACTCTCGTCTTGTATCCTCGTCGAAACGTCGCTTAGTATTAAACTCAGTAATTGTGTATCCATAAAAATTACTAAATGCCATTCAAAGAAGATAAATGCATCCCATTGGTCGGAAATCGGAACTGTGATGGTGATAATGATTATTGATGCAGATTATGTTAATCATTTGATCAATCATTTCATCATTATTTTAACATCATCAAATGTTTCAGGTTTCTTAGATAAGAATTTATCATAATAAATTACATTTGGATTATTTATATTAACGTGTAGAGTTAAAGGAGGTGGCCCATCTATTTCTGTATTCTAATTTAAAAAAAAAAGTAAGACAAACATGACAGCTGCATTCGAATCAACCTTTCAAATATTGTTAGGCTTCCTATTGTGCAAGCGGGCTAGATCTATTTCTTAAGGCCAACTCAAGATTTCGTCAAGGTCGCTGAGATGTAAATAAGGTTATAGGGCACGTGATTGTTGACGAGATTGTAGGTTAGGGTTAGGGAAATCAATTACGAATGGAATAACACTTTCTCGGTGTCCCCTTACTTATAAAAAAATATGAAATTAATGTAAAGAACAATTACAAATCTCATCAATGAAAAATGACGCATCTTTTGAGTAAAAATAATCCAAGGTAAGCGTTAAGACTAGCTCCAGGGTTAGGGTTGGGATTAGAGCTAGCCCTGTTGACCAAGAGAGAGGGAAATGAGGTTTAACGTCCACTCGACACAAACTAGGTCATTTCGGGACTAACACATGGTTCAATTTTATTTCAATAATTCGCTTGCGCGTAGGGGTCTTAAGCAGTGGGAGGAAATCGGAGGACCCGGAGAAAACTCAAAAGGTTGGACAGGCGAACCTACTCCTTGTCACGCACAACCGGGGAATCGAAACCCCACCAGTTGACGACCTTTGACCAAACTTTAAGTCGATTGTTGCTAGTTCTGAATGCAATGTTTTATTAATAAGCCTTTTGAGTTTTTAAAAGTTGATACGTGTAGCTCTCGTCATTATCGATCTACTGTTAGACATGTAATAGGTGGGCTATTTTCTTTAAGGACAGATAGTGGATGTACCCAGAGAAAACACACGGGGTTGGACAGTCGATCCTTTAAGGACAGAAAGGGGATGTACCCAGAGAAAACACACGGGGTTGGACAGTCGATCCTTTAAGGACAGAAAGGGGATGTACCCAGAGAAAACACACGGGGTTGGACAGTCGATCCTTTAAGGACAGAAAGGGGATGTACCCAGAGAAAATCCACGAGGTTGGACAGTTGATCCTACTGGACCACTACCTTTAAGGACAGATGGTATATGGTTGTATATATAAACGTATAACAATTGAGTACAGTTGATATGCTTGAACTAACAATTTACAGAATTATTATTAGTTTATAGGATAAAATATCAACCTAATAGACGATAATAATATCCTAAGTACATTGACATTTTAAACCTGTTGCAAGTTAGCATTCTGTTCGTTTTAGAAACCGTTATAGCGACACCTTACGGTGATGTAATATCCATGTAGAATAATGTACATTTATATATAGGCCTACATGCACGCATGTTTAACGGGTTCGAATGATTTTTATTCGCCAACATATAAATGTAGAATTGCAGATGTTTTAAAGGAACCAAGTCTTTAACTAAATATTATCCATAGTCTTCGACATTGCAAATTATTGGTTAATTTAATTCAACACTGATCTTACCGTGAAAAGTTGGGCTTCTGATAACCAATATTTAAGACAAAATGAAAATATTAAAATTGGCATACGAATCATGTGCCAGAATGCTTTCGAGCACCAAACATATCCCATGTACATAGGAGAATACTATTACTACCGGTCTAGACTGGAATAACCAGACGCCAAAGACTGCCATTGAATTTGGATTCTTCGCGTATTTTACCGAACATAACTGATTAGAAATTACAGTAAAAATAGAATTATATTAGCATCCCTCGTTGACCAAGCATTTAAAATACACCCCTTCCGTTTTATAAAATCACTAATATTGTGATAAATATTTCATTTTGGTTTGAACACCAATGGGGTTAAATTGATGCGTGAGTTGTTATTATTTAATATCCTATATCTTTTCTATGTTCACGGCCTTGTTCACCAACAACATGCCAAAGCTTTTATCTGAAAATATCATAGACAAAACATTTTACAACAGAACCGCGACAATTCCCGCTCTAAAATAATTATGTAAAATACCTTACTATTAGGTACGTCTTTATAGTGTGCACGTATTTAATTATTACTCTTCCATTTTACGAAGAATTCCCCGCTCTTTGTCAAACGTCAGATTGAGGAAGATAACATTTAACATGCCATACTATAAGTTACATCATTATTGTGTGCACGCATTTAATTGTCACTCCTTCATTTTACAAAAAAATACTCACTTTTTGTCAAACGTTTCAGTGGGAAAGATAACATTTAAAATATTTAAAATACCAGACGAGTAACTCGATCAGAATCCTCCTTTATACTTGTGTATGATTGACATATTTGACAAATGAGATAACATGAAAGACCGGGATTAAATAGATAGAGTGATGGTCCTCAGCTTATGTTGATTATATCTATAGATGTCCTAAACTAAACAAAAACGTGTTGTTCTTTATTTTATAGAGAGAGAGAAATGGGGTTTAACGTCCACTCGACACAAACTAGGTCATTTCGGGACTAACATATGGTTTAATTTTATTTCAATAATTCGCTTGCGCGTAGGGGTCTTTAGCAGTGGGAGGAAATCGGAGGACCCGGAGAAAACCCACGAGGTTGGACAGGCGACCCTACTCCTTGTCACGTACAACCGGGGATTCGAAACTACGCCAGTTGACACAATGACAGGCTTTATGATACAGCACGCACGTGCTAACCATTCGGCCACCTAACCCCCCTCTTTATTTTATAAATATCACAATGGTTCTGTATTTGTTACCATGGTAATATAAACATCAAGATGATTCTATAGCGCTATTTGTTACCATCGTAATTTTATAAACACCAAGATCATTCTATAACACTATTTGTTACCATGGTAATTTTATAAACACCAAGATCATTCTATAGCACTATTTGTTACCATAGTAATTTTATATTTTAAAATATCACGATGGTTCTATAGCGCTATTTGTTACCATGGTAATTTTATAAACACCAAGATTATTCTATAGCGGTATTCGTTACCACGGTAATTTTATAAAAAAAAATCACGATGGTTCTATAGCGCTATTTGTTAACATGGTAATTTTCTATTTTAATGGGTTTATTCTGGTATGGTACTGAATGTTGAATGTATATCTAATTGTAATTTTGTGGGGAAGAGTATAAAATAAAAACCTAACATTTGAGACTACGTGAATAAGAACTGAGACCACATTTATTCATAAATCACTTTCCTCGAGGAACGTGTAAATGTCTGCCGACACGCAGTATAGATCTATAATAGAACCTAACACAACCCTAAAAAATATATAATAAGTGCACACAAGGAGTATGTGTATAATAATTATTTATTTACAAATCAGTACAACATTTTTGTAATTAATATATGTCATGGTTTTCTGAAAACAAAAATAAAACGATAAAATGCTGTTAAATATTTATCAAAAATATGAAATTGTGGTTATCTCCCCTAGATATTAGATTTATTAGCTTTACAATACATTACAATTTTACAAATGAAATGAAATGTGGTTTAGCGTCTTATTCCTTTGCACCGATTTGACAAATGAAAACGGGATAATTGTACAACAATAAGGCATATATATAAATTACATTGACCAACAATAATTTATCTACATACAGTATACCAATAGTTGTCAAAGTGTATATAATAATGGAATGAGCTAAATATGAAAGATATATTTTTCAAGCATAGTAAGGTCATCAAGTTCGATCCCAGAGAATGTAATATTTCTAATGACCTATATTGTAGATTGTCTTGTGGAACCAACACATTTTCATGGTGGATTGGCCGATATATTTAACAAATATTAACAAAGTAGGATAAATCCACAAGATCAAATTTTCTATTAGATTATAATATAGATTTAAAAATCGATGGGGCTTAGTATACACCCAGAAGAGCCTCGTGTCTAATTTTGACATTTGACTTGACCTCAGCTAGTAGACGTCTATATAGGGAATCCTCTTCGAGTCTTTTTTGATACCAAAAAATATCAACACAAGTCGATATGAAAGTTATCAATCACAATAGCTACTGTAGACGGCTATAAGGTGTTAAATATTAATGTAGGGTGACCCATTTACTCACAGATACAGTCCACCGCTGATAGTTCGAGACTACCACTGAAGCGTGCACATTCGCCGTGCCGAGACAAACTTTCTGACAGTATGATACTATAAATAGCCCTTGCACGTGCAATTCTCTACAAATCTATCAACTATTACAGCCGTAAAAAATTTATTGTTGACGATTTTGAATAGCAGTAAAATTAAGCTTCTTGGTTATTACAGCAGATTTAGAAATTACGTTCGTTTCATTTTTTAAATCGCTTTATATATTAACTGTACCGTTAAGAGCGGCATCTTTTGGTTTAGTACAAATAATATCTCTGAATCACTCGGGTTAGACAGGAACATGATACTAGCAGTAGTTTCATTTTACTTTTACAAGCTTCTTAAAACGATTGTTGAACTACCTAATGTGCTTATTTCTAAATTCAATTTCTTGTTCTAGCTTTCTGTTATGTTTCGTAAAAAAGTAGTCTTGATTATCCCGACCTGTCAATCAGACGTAGAATGGTCGAAAGACTGGTTAAGCGAGACTAATTTCAAAACAAGGGCACGTAACCTATCTTTTACTAAAAAGTGTCTGGATGTTATGGACGACTCTTGGAACCAGTTTTCAGTCTATTATTTATACATGATTAATGGTCATAGCTTATTAAGCACAACATGATCGTTTATTTAGTGACTATAATTGTGTGAAACTGATTTGGGGCTTGGAATATATATAAATATTGTGGCGTAATTGTCGAGATATATGGAGATATTTATTTATGGTGGGTCACCCGATTAATAGTGCCGGTAGTTCGTCAGGAAATGTGAAAATCATTCATTTATTAGTTATAATACTGATGAGCCGTGGGTCGTAAACAAGGCGAGTGTTTCCTGTTTCACCGGTGATTCAATATCAACAATAACAACCCAATATTATTTTCGAACTATAGTGTATTACGAAATGTCATAGAAAACTGGAAAGTATTCACGGTTTGATCACAGATATATTTGATTTGGTCACATCACATATATTTGATCAAGTACAAAGTCAAAATTCAACAGATTCACCATATTGATTCAATCATCAGAATACATATTTAGTTCACAATTCACCATAATAATAGGGTTTAACGCCTATTTAACATACAACAGAACCAATTTACCACATTCACAATTGTTGTGTTCGTCGGATTATTCTTGCCACAGATACAAACGATGTATTCCGAATTCTTGAATGTTCTAATTCCACACGGCGACTAACAGAAAACTCACGGATCGTAACAGAAAATGATCGAACTTGTATTGGGTTAATTACCATCTGACAGTTGTTTCCGGTGGGCATCTGGCTCTCCTGGCAACCGGAATAATTTTCAGGAAATGCCATATTGTCTGTAAATATAATAAAACAAAACTTACAAATTGAAGATGGGGGTAAAACACTGTATTTATTTGTAACCGTGAGATGAGATTAGCTAATTAGGCTTTCACCTTCGGTGAAAGCCTATTGTTATTACTAAGATTAATATTATTTTTTTTTATTGGGGGAAGCTAGATCTCAGCAACTATAAGAGATAGAGGTTTGAAATTTGATTTTCTGTCGGAAAAGTGGTGTGCAGCTACTGCTTAAAACTATTTTGAAATTTGTTCGCATACCGGAAGTGACGTTAAGTACGAAAAACGAAAACTGGTCATAACTGTGGGAATTCTCAACCGATATTTACATTTTTGGATAGCTAGTTACATATCTGGGCAGATAGTAGTTCAAAACCGACAAATTTAGAAACTTTGTCGCTTTCATTTTTTTGTTGAAAATTGGAAAATTTTCTAAATTTTGGTAAAATTTTTATTTTTTGGAATTTTTACATTATGATTACATTTTTAGATAGCTAGTGTCGATCCGATTCCAACGATATAAAAAAATATCTGAAATGTTAACTTTGATTTTTCACTTTTTTTTCGCATTATGGTCAAATCGTAGAGTTCTTATTTTTTTAAAACGGCTCCAACGATTTTTCTGAAACCTCAGGAATATGAAGTCGAAGGTCTAATCCAGTCCTTAAACTATAAATGAACTGCACTGAACTATAAACTATAAATGCACTGAAACAGCACTGCTGAGAGTATATAACGATATTGTTACTAACACAGATAATAAACAGTCTGTCGTATTAGTGTTACTAGACTTAAGTGCCGCCTTTGATACTATTGATCATGATATTCTATTAAACCGGTTACAAACACGTTTTGGCGTCGATGAACTATGTCTAAAATGGATACGCTTTTATCTAACTGACAGGTCACAGTATGTAGTCATTGAGAAAGCAACATCGTCTCCCAAAACCCTACGCTTTGGAGTTCCGCAGGGGTCGGTTCTTGGTCCCCTTTTATTCACTGCCTACACAACACCAATTGGCGATATCATCCGAAAACATGGAATTAACTTTCATCTTTATGCTGACGACACACAACTGTATCTTGCTTTGAAACCACCAAGTGACTCCACCGAAATCTGTAAACTTGAGGCTTGTATAGATGACATAAAAAATTGGATGAATCTTAATTTCCTAAAATTAAATGATGATAAGACAGAGGTCATCTTAATCAGCAGAAAATCTCTTTCTCAATCCGTTAAAATCGGTGCGGTGATTCAACAATAACATCCTCTCAATCAGTTAAAAATCTTGGAGTTTACTTTGATCACGATCTTAAAATGAAAAGTCATATCTCTACTACCTGCAAATCATTAAATCTTCATCTTTACAACATTGGTAAACTTCGACCATTTATAACGTCAAATATCGCTAAAATGTTAACTAACGCTTTCGTTCTCTCCAAACTAGATTACTGCAATTCGCTTCTATACCAATTACGAGCATCAGATATAAACAGACTCCAGAAAATTCAGAACAAAGCTGCACGTATCGTTTCTCTAACTAAACAATCTGAACACATTACTCCAGTACTCCAAAATCTTCATTCGCTACCAGTTTATCAACGAATTAATTTTAAGATCGGTCTTTTAACTTTTAATTGTCTAAATAACAACTGTTCCCCACAATATCTTAATGAACTTTTAACCCCGTATAAACCAAGCAGGAACCTACGCTCTGCTGATAAAAACTTACTTCATGTTCCTACAGTAAAAACTAAAACTGGTGAACCGGCTTTTGTTTACGCCTCTGCTAACGCGTGGAATGAATTACCCAGACATGTTAAAGACTCTACTAACGTTGCTGTTTTTAAAAAAAATCTTAAAACCGAACTTTTTAAACGTGCTTTTAAACTATGAACATGTTGACATTTTAATGTTTTAGAACTATTTGTTTTATATTATATGTAATATTTTAATTGTGAAAAGCGCCGCGGAGCAGCTGTTAGCTGGAGCACTCAGCGCTATACAAAATGATTATTATTATTATTAAATGAAAACAATTGAAACCCCGGAAGTAGTCACGAAATGTATCCGAACTTTGACAAAATTTTGAAAAATGGGTACCTGTGCGGAAATTGCGATGTTTCAATTGTGTTTTTGCTGATTAGTAAAAGTATTATATCGTTTAATAGCTAATTGAATTGTCTATCAGATGGGACTTCAGCGACAAGTTTCTATCAAAAAATAAAAAAGTTATGTGACTTTGAAAAGTAAGGTATTTTGCGATTTCGAGCAATTTTAGACGCATGTTTCTCGGAAACGCCCCCAACGATTTTTTAAAAACTTTCCCAATTTAGAGACTAATGGATTGCCTGTTGTGTGAAACCACTGTATCATTTTTTGAAATGTCATGGATAGCCCAAAAAAGAGATCGAAAATCGAAAACGTCGTATTTTTACGATTTGGAGCATTTTTAGAGGCCTATTTCTCGAAAAGTCAACATAATTCTTTTTTGGAACTTCTTCTAAAGAGAGGCCTATCGGTAGTGCTATACATAAAACGATTGTACAATAGTCCCAACTTTCAGGAGTAGCAGAACAAAGGGATCGAAAATTGAACACGGCACCTTTCATTGTTAAGCGAAACATAAGTGGGGGATACAATCTGTACGTTTTGTCAACGTATAGAGTCTATTCAAGAGTGCTTTTATCAGTGATGATAATTGAACTGAAATTATTTCAACTATGAATGTTTTCTTCTTTCCAAAATATGGGTTTAGTGACCCTGTAACAGAAATAGTTTATTGCTGTGTGTAATAATTAGCCTTTGAATTAATATTGTTGCTTCTGTGTCAAAATTATCTAATACCGGTAATCATCTGGACAGAAATCGACGGCTCGCGCTGTTTATAAGAAAGTCCAATTTATTAATCGTTTGCAGTAGTATCGTACAGTGGTATCGAATATTGCACCTGTGATAAAAGGCATGACGTTGTTTGAGCATAGACTCTATCTATAATTAATATTAAATTTTTTATTAGTGACGTCAAATCTTTAACGTGCACGAAACCAGAAAATTGGCGATATTTCATTGAATATTCAATCAATTTTTGAACCAGTTACATATTTTAGTAGCTGACATGAACGCGATTCCGAAGTCCCGTGTACACATTGGTGTGACCGTAAAACATCCCTTGGCGGTTGGAATTCTATATAAAAGAAGACTGGCGCCGCTGTACGAGCATGTTTAGAGATCATTTCGGGACTAACATATGGTGTATTTTTTATTTATTTCAATAATTAGCTTGCGCGTAGGGGTCTTTAGCAGTGGGAGGAAACCGGAGGACCCGGAGAAAACACACGAGTTTAGACAGGCGACATACTCCTTGTCACGTTCAACCGGGGAATCGAAATCCAGCCAGTTGACTCAATAACAGACCGTATGATACAGCGCAGTCCAAAAGGCTATAGCTTACCGTGCAAATTCCAGCCAGCATAACGTATCTATATAAGAGACATTTGTTCCTACTGGCGATTTACAAATATTGCATGAAGAAATTCAAATCATAAGAACATAAAAACGACTAATGCGCAGTATCATATTGATTGTAAAAGTACAATGTATATATTGGTTATACTATATATGTCACAAAACAACAATCATTAGATAATAATTATTTACTAATTATATAATTTATTTAAGAGGTAGGAGTTATCCATTGTTTAATTTAACAGTTATATAATTACCCTGGTTAGAAAGGTACGAACAATTAAGGTATTTAAACAAATGGTTACGAAAGAACATAACACTATAGACTTCTATAATACATGTTTAATATATATATATATATCAAATGATAAGACTTCTATGATAAGACATATAATACATGTTTAATATATATATAAATGAAAATGTCCTACGCTAACAAATAATGAAATATGATTTTATCAGTAAATATAAAAAAACAAAGTAGTCGCGAACATCCTGGTTCTTGACTGCTTCAGTTGTTTGATCCTGTCTGTAATTAATAGTAAACTTTTACATGTTAGTGACTTCAAATCTTTAACGTGCACGAAACCAGAAAATTGGCGATATTTAATTTTTGAACCAGTTACATATTTCAGTAGCTGACATGAACACGATTCCGAAGTCCCGCAAAAAAGTTCCCTTGGCAGTTGGAATTGTATATAAGAGTAGGCTAGCGCCGCTGTACGTTCGAAACATTCCTCATGGTCCATTCCGAGCAGAATGTCGTTAAACCCCATTTCATTTTACTTTGATATTAATATCTATTGCGACATTGCTTTTCGTCCATTTCGCGAAACTGTTCTTTTTCCATTTCGCGTAGATCAACTTTATTTTTCGATTCCCTTATAACGTAATGCGCATGCAAAGAACATGTCAATATCTGAGTTATGCAAATGTGTGTTTTTATTTGGGGGGTGGGGGAGTGTGTGTTTGTTTAGGGGGTGAGAGGTGGGGATAGTCTTATGTCATGCATCTGGTGATCGTGTGACGCCTTGGCACGGTGAAAGCCTTCAGTCTTGCAAGCAAGTCTAGTTGACTTTAGTTTTAAACGGTACAAAATCCCCGTATTATAGGTGCACCTAGGAAGTAATCCGGGGCGGACGGCTGCGCTCTCTTGTTGTCCTCATCGGTTTTTAGATGACGTTTATGCTGAAACAAAATGAAAGGGGTTTAAAGTCCTGCTCCGACTGCGCTAATGAAAACGGACGTACGCCATACAGTGTGGTATGGGGGAGAGTTTGACCAGACAATGGCACTATATCGAATTCCAACTGCCAGGGTATTTTTTTACCTGCACGCCAATGTGTACACGGGACCTTCGGTTTTTTTTTGTCGTTCAATCCGAACGACTGTACGCTGTGAAAAATAAAACCTCGCGACGAATTACCCATTAAAACAAACCCCTCGGCCTACAGACTTGATTCATCAGCAGCGTTTAACTTTTTCCAAGAAAGTCCTGAGCAATAAAAGAGTACAAAGGTTATACTTACTGATTAAAGTAAAGGTAAAGTTCTGGTAATGATACTATACTTTACACGATCAAAACGCCACACTATGACATCGGTAGCACTTGTAACCACACAAAGTGTACAACTGTTATACTTGCGAATCCCTCTATAATACCGGCTATACAAGACCATCTAGAAAAAAGAGCTAAATTTTGGATGATGGGTTTGGCTCGGTTGACTGATTTTTAATTGCCTGGTGTCCTAATATTAACAAAATCTGTTCAACTTGGGTGGCATTATTGCTGATATAAATAGTTCAGTTAGATAAGTGTTGATAGCTATAAACCTGATTTTTAATTGCCTGGTGTCCTAATAATAACAAAATGTTCAACTTGGGTGGCATTATTGCTGATATAAATAGTCCAGTTAGATAAGTGTTGATAGCTATAAACCTGAAATTGTGATTATCAAATGACAACATTTTAATTTCTAAAATAAAAAGCTCTTTTTTATATAAATCATATTTATTATCGATGATGAGGTTGATAGATAACAGCTTAACACTATTATATACAAATTACTCAATATAACACTTGAAGAATAGCCTAAAAGTATGTAATACAAGGTTGTGGTCTCTTTAGAGGTAAATTTAATATCTGATTGACTTTAAATTAATATCCGTGTTTACAAAGAATCCTATTGATTTTCACCAAATTCCAATAATTACTGCCAGAGTTACATATATCGCCCTTTATCACTTTGAAAAATCTGGTGGACGCTCTAGGGGCTAAAGTTAATATCCGATTGACTTTAAATATATACACAGTCTTTAAGGTCATCAGACGAAGAAGCCTGTTGATTTTCAACGATTTCTGATAATGACTGCCAGATAGTTATCAACTGATTGATTTTATATTCATACACCGTGTTTACGCCTATATATAATAGTTTCGATTGACTTTAGATTGATACACAGAGTTTAAGGTCTTGAGACGAACAAGTATATTGATTTTCAATGATTTTTGATAACTTGAACAGCTAAATACATGACATTAAGTGTTTTGTATATACGTTAGCATGGGCCAAACAAATTCCAATGATTTTCTGATAATTACATAACGAGTTGTTACTCTTAATCAGATTTTAGTGTATTGTAAATATTTCATTACCGACAAATATCTCTGTTCCTTTTGATATTCACGCAAATCAGACCTAATTTCCCGTCTTATGACCCCCAATTTTACGAGAAATCACGTTTTTATCTTGTCCGATTATATGTTTATATCCCAAAGTTCTGGGTTCCAGTCGATACTTCGACCGTGTCAGCCTGGATTATGATACCTGATTGTACGAAAAACTTGTTTTTAAAGCTTGTTCTCTGTCCATCTCTTGCAAAATATTGGCGTCTCTTGCATGGCAACGCCTGTTTCCAAATATATTTCATATTCAAGCTGTATATTAAATAACAAATAGATTGTTTTGGGGTAACCTCTCCCTGTATTTAAAAAATCCGTAAATGTTCATATTTTTGAACGAACATAAGATATTTTTGGATCAAATTTTCTTTAATAATAATTGATAAGTTTGTAAATAGTATTGTACCTTGTAGTCACATATAATACATGTACGATGGCTCAATAGGCCCTTTTCTATGGAAATAAATATGCATAGATGAATGTAAAATGCCACTGGCAAGAGTTATACAAAGATAATGTGCTCAACAACGCTTATTTTACTTATGAATATTAATCTCCCCAGGAAAAAGGTCCAAAATCATTTAATTGGATAACATCAAATTGGTCCATGTCAAAGTATATGAGTAAAATAGTGTAAGATATTTTATAGCCTGGCTTAGAGAAGTTGCTGTAGATATTACATCTCATTAAATAAGCATATTATTACCGGTACTTTATGTAATATTTGAATCCATTTTTATACGCTGACATTTTCATGTGGACGTATATTGTCGTCGGCTCTGTCCATCCGTCCGGACGTCCACAATTGTTTGTGAACACTCTACAGGTCACAATTTTTATCCAATTTCAATGAAACTTGAAATATAGGTTAATCCCCCTAAGATCTCGGTTCCTTTCGATATTGGCATGTACTGGACTGTAACTTCATGGATTATGGCCCCCGATTGTACGAGATATTACGTTTTGAGTTCGTGAACAGTGTAGAGGTCACAATTTTTAGCCGATTTGGTTTAAATTTGAAATTTATGTTTGTATACCCTGGCTAAAACAAGATGCTACATCTAATTAAATAAGCTAATTATTACTTTATGTAATATTTGAATCAATTTTATTTTCATGATATAATTATTATATTAAATTGTTATTAAATCTGTTTATTTCTACATTCAATTTGATTATTTTCTTTTATTCTCTTATTCATTTTTAATTTTAATTTCAATTGAAAATCCCACAGAACCTGATTTCCAAATCATCTAGCTTTTATATTCTAAATATAGAGCAGTGTAATATGACACTTATACACTGCACCATCTAAATAGATAATAATTGGGCGACAATTTATTATCTTTGAGAAGTTGATGACAGGATTCTCTTCAACAAACTTCCATTATCTTTGAGGTCAAATTCCTAAACATGAAGAAATCAGGCTGATTTCTAGTTGGTCTTAAGAGTGTACACGCTTCCATGTGTTGACCTCTAAATTACAACTTCCGTTTAAATTGTATCATTTAGAGTATAATCTTACAGTAATATTGAATAAAATGGCTTGTTTCCTTCTTTCTGTTGGTTTTATTATCACAGCTGTCTCGTAATATATCTATCTATCTTGTCAACAGATTTTCCTTTTCGTTGAAAGCAGAGAAAAAAAACCGCCTTTACTCTTAATTAACTTTTCTTTCTATCAATTTAGTTAAAGCCGTTTCAAGTTAAACACGGTCTATTTATCTTAGAGAAATAAAGGCTGAAAGCTCATAAGACAAAAGAGAAATAACATGCAATAATGGAAATTAATGACAAATAGTGTTTTATTAATAAATAATATCAATTAATATTTGTGAATTTGATTTTGTTGAGTTGCGTCCATTATTCGTTCCGCTAGGATTCATAGCTGGAGATATGTAAAAAATAATTTGCAAAGCTTAAAGTTTTTTGGAAGAATTTTAATATTGATATTACAAATAAATATATGTTTTTATTATATGAAAATAATTTGGTCATTCTTACTCAAGGGAACACGGTGACTTAGTAAAAATGAAATGGAATGGGGTTTAACGTCCTACTGTTCTGCTCCTACTGGGCTAATGAAGACGGGCATACGCCATAAAGTGTGCTATGAGGGAAATTTAGCTCGGACAGCGGTGCTACGGCCTACTCTTATATCGAATTCCAACTGCCAAGGGATCTTTTACGTGCATGCCAATGTATACATGGGACCTCGGTTTTTTGTCCAATCCGAACGACTAGACAGCTGTACTTGTCAGGCCCTCCGTCCTGCACCACTGACAAGAGGAAACCACGTCGAAAAATCCCGATAAACTTTCTCATCCAATGCAGGGATCGAACACCCGACCTCCAGGCTATCGAACACCCAACCTCCAGGCTATCGAACACCCGACCTCCAGGCTATCGAACACCCGACCTCCAGGCTATCGAACACCCGACCTCCAGGCTATCGAACCAGCGTCTTACCAACTTAGCCACCGTGACCCACTACATGCAGACTTCCTTCATTATGGTCATGAAATTTAATACCAAGAGATAAGGAAATTAATTTACAATTAATAATTAGTATTTGTATTATTATATGATTTAACAGAAACTGACTCAACCTTATAAATAATACACTCGGATATCATTGGATCATGTGACACTGTTTATAATTTATATCAACAGTAAGACAACATGTATATTAATATTTCATATTCATGTCAATTCATCATATTATTGACGTATGTATGCGACATGCGATATCCCGTATGCTTTAGATCATTACGACTGTCATTGAGCTCTCTCCTATACATGGTGGAGATGGCAACGTTTCTTCGAATTACTAATACTGTGGCTTTTTTTTCTGTGAAGTGCGATTTGAAAGAAATGAACTGAAATGTGGTTTAACATCCTACTGCTCCGACTGGACCAATGAAGACGGGCATACGCCATACAGTGAGCAATAAGCGAAATTTTGCCCGGACAAGGGCGCTACGGCCTACTCTTATATATCGAATTTTCAACTGCCAAGGGATCTGTTACGGACACGCTGATGTGTACACGTGAGCTGGGTTTTCCGTCCCATTCCGAACGACTATCCGCTGTTTCTTGCCAGGAACTCTGCACTGCACCACTGACAAGGGGGCGGGGGGGGGGGGCACGCCGGAAAATCCAAATAAACTTTCTTGGCCAACACCGGGATCGAACACGGGGCCTCCTGGTTAGCGAGCCAACGTCTTACTCACTGAGCCACCGTGGCTTCCCGATTTGAAAGAGAGTTTTACCATCAATTGATCATGAATACTTGACCTGGACCAGAAATAAAAATTGTATCGTGTTTGACTATATAGCCCTAAAACATTTATAGGCCATCAAATAATCTTAATTTAATGCATTCAAATAGACTTTATAATTATATCTGCAAAAAGACCAATTGTTTGACAAATATTTATTTTCATTAAATATATCGTGACTCATTCGTACATACAACACAGCAGACACTAGACCCATCCTGTTATTTGTAGCCTATAATTGATATAATTGACTTTAATACGATCAAAGTAAACAATTTCAACTAAACCGAATAAAGCACAGACGTTTGTCCAGACCAATTACCTACTATATATAAATGTACCTTTTAAATATGGTATATTTTTTATAATAGACGTGTATAGTAACATTATATAAAACGTAAATATCAATGGGTTTAACCCCCTATTTCTCTGCTCCGAACTCAGTTAATGAAGACGGGTATACGACATACGGTGTGCTATGAGGGAAAATTTGGCCCGAAGGCGGCACTATACGGTCTACTCTCATTTCGAATTCCAACTGCCAGGGTTCCTTTACGTGTACGCTAATGTGTACACGGGACCTCGGTTTTTCGTCTCATCTGAACGACTAGACACTGTTCTCGAGGGGAAACTACGCCGGAATATTCCGAGGTACTTTCTCGGACAACAGCGATAGCGAACCAACGTCTTACTCACTTTTGCAACGTACTGCAGGCATTCATATAAAATTCTTTTAGAATGAAATATACTATTTGCACTCCAAAAACATTAATAACCCAATTAATTATTTAAACGGGTGTTATTTGAGAACACGGCCTTCATTATCCCAGTCCAGTCGGTGCAGAAAAGTAAGACGGTCAACACTATTTCATTTATTTTATGCGAATTCTTTGTCCAATAATCTATGTGCTGTATTCAAAGAGAGAGAGAAATGGGGTTTAACGTCATTTCAGGACTAACATATGGTTCAATTTTATTTCAATAATTCGTTTGCGCGTAGGGGTCTTTAGCAGTGGGAGGAAACCGAAGGACCCGGGGAAAACCCACGAGGTTGGACAGGCGACCCTACTCCTTGTCACGCACAATGACAGACCTTATGATACAGCGCGCACGTGCTAACTATTCGCCCCCCCCCCCACCAACACCACCCCCACCCCCACTCCCTGTGTTGTATTGAAACGACGCAAACAATATGAAATGTTATCATATGAAGCAATTGCGCAAAACATATACATGTACCAACTCAAGAGTTGGTTTAGGAGCAAACTGTACAGCTAAAGAAAACATCCAAGAAAAAAGGGTATACTTTGGAGGAATATCCATACACCCCTGTTTTATATATATATATATATATATATACAAGACATGATCTTGAACCTCAGGATGACATAAAAAGGCGTGAAAACATCGTTTAAATAAATAGAGTATAAACACGAACTATCAGTTATCTTGAAACATTGACTCAATTATTACACGACATACGCCCTGATAACAACTGGGGTTAGGGTTACATGAGGTCAATCCATATAGATATACATTATTGCAATTCAAGCAGGTGCGTTGAATGTTGACGTATAGATTATTATTTTTAAATTGTGCAATCCAAACAAATCATGACGATAATGTACTAACATTTTCTTTAGCGATATGGTATTTATTTCAAATACAATGTACAAAGGAATGTAATGTATAAATTGTATACACTAAAAGCTATTTATGGAATAACAATTACTGGTTTATTAACATGCAACGTTTCGACTATGGTACTCTCGTTTCTAACACACAAATGATAACATATACACTTAAGTATTTATACAAATGTTATCATTTGTTCTATCGTTGATGGAATAGGGTTTAAAATTTAATTATTTTATTTTATTTTTTTTTTTTCTCTCAAGAATTTTGCGATTCAAACTAATTTGGTTCTTTGTCTAAAGGGGGATCACGTGGCTAAGTGGGTAAGACGCTGGCTCGCTAGCCTGGAGGTCGGGTGTTCGAGTCCTGCATTTGCCGAGAAAGTTCATCCAGATTTTCCGGCGTGGTCCCCCCCCTTGTCAGTGACGCAGGGCGGAGGGCCTGACAAGGATAGCTGTCTAGTCCTTCGGATGAGACGAAAAACCGAGGTCCCGTGTATACATTGGAATGCACGTAAAAGATCCCTTGGCAGTTGGAAATCGATATAAGAGTAGGCGATAGTGCCGCTGCCCGGGCAAAATTTCCCTCATAGCACACTGTATGGCGTATGCCCGTCTTCATTAGCCCAGCATAGGAGCAGAACGGTAGGACGTTAAACCCCATTTTATTTCATTTCTCTGCAGTATTTATTTATTGTACGCAAGAATATCACAAACTATTGTGGTTGATTACCTAAAATAAAGAACTCGACAGAATACTTTGAGATTGAGTCATTCTTTGATTAATCATACCATAAAACCCTCGTCTGTCATACCTGCTGTCAAATTTCTGTGGTTTTTATCAAATGTTTAAATTTCGAGTTTGTAAAGGAGTGTGACATTTGAATTTTGAGAGCTGTTAAATTTATTAAGATGTGACTCATGGCGTAATGATATAGACATTAATATTGCTCTGGTTAATTTCTTTCCGGTGAAACAGCAGACGTAGTCAATTTCAATCTGCATCGAGAGATGCGAGGAAATGACATGCAGTTTTTATGACATTTACTGTGAACTGTGAGTTTGATATAAGTTGATTTATGAGAGTTTTTGTACAATTATTCTATTTTCTTGTCAGATTTAAATTAAAACTAATTCTATCTCTTTTTTTAATTTTTTTTCACAGGAAATGGGTGAATTATTAATGACAGCGTATCGACCACGTGCTGAGCCCCAGGACGAGGCGGATCCGAGGGTCAGCTTAATCGTTGACCCTCAATCCCAACCCCATCCTAACTCTCAACAAAGTCAGCCTAGCAACGGGGTAACCCATCAAAATGGCGGACCTGTCGCACAGAAGAAGAAACCGGGATTAAAACAGACATTGCCCCTGGGCTGCTTCAAGAACCGAAAAAGATGTCGGTTGATAACGGCAATTATTTTGACAATTCTTATTCTGTCTGCGGTGGCAATAGTCTTGGCCGTGTGTTTAAAATCGTCCGATGATGATTCGACATTAAATCATGTTCCCGAAACGAAAAACCAAAGTCGTTTCTTGAAAACCACCAAATTGCCAGAAACCACCACGTCAACGGTTACCACATCGACAACTTCTACAACAGTGCCACCAGAAACAACAGTTTCGGTTCCAGTACCGGAAGTAAATGAATTTGCGAATTATCCGGACAGAGGTGATAGCCGTTTGTTTAAAATAAATTTGGACAATGGTGACATTATAAGGACATATGGATCTAAATCATCCAATGGAAATCTCGCATCTTTAACGTCTATAAGTGTTGCTGAGGGAACCGGAAGTGATACCCATATCCGATTAGGTAACAGAAACAATTTAGCATCAGTAATGCTCTCTGATGGCACCCACGTTTCTTACGATATGTCTGACAATCTTCAGAATTTAGAAATGAAAATATTTACGGGTGGACCGATTGACGTAAATCCTAAGACACCTCGTGCCTTTGTTCAGGGAATTTTGATTGACAAAAACATCTCTGTGTTAACACGCCTGTTGTTGTTGCTCTCCGGTAAAAACGTTTCTCCAAACGGCAGACCCGGAGTTGTGCAAACTGTGAACAAAACGTGTATATCGTATTTACCCCTACGTGTGACTAAATGTGGTAGCCAGTATCCCTATGAGGGTGCATTTATTGAAGGTAAAGTTAGAATTGGCGGGAAATCGCCCGTGTTAATGGCTGCGTTACCATGGCCGACCGAGCGTGACGAGTGTTTTGAGCAGACATGGGAATCAAATACAAGGCCGAATTATTATATACCGCTTCCAAGTAGATCAAATCGTAGTGCATCTTTTTCAGAGATCAGTCAAAATTGTGATTCATATGTGGATTATTTCTATCCTATCTGCGCAAGTCAGGATGTATACGATCAACATTTACACGTGGATATGTGCAATAACCTTGCCAACCAAACGGCCAGTGCTCAAGGTGGAAATAGTGTAATACATTCGTCTGTGTTCAGTAGCTGTAGGAAAATATTTAGTAGTATTAACTCCATGTGTTCGGCACTGCAGTATAAATCTGTCGATGAACCAACATGGAAAACTTCAAAAGACGTTCTCTCAAGGAGTCTGTGTTCTTTACCAGAATCAGAATCCCAAGGGACGGTAGCAGACGATCAGTTACAGGTGGGTCTACATGTGCTAGTGTTTTGCCCATCACAGACTCCATTTCGATCACCTGAACAAAACATTAACATGCGTTTTAATGAATCAAAAAGTATTGGAAGTCCAATCCATATAAACTGTGAGGGGTCACCGGAAGTAACCTTCGTCTCAATCGGACATGCTTACACCGGTTCTAGTAGTCTCGATCGAGTCATGCATCGATTTCGAGTTTGTTCAATTTGTGCATTTGAGACTTCAGTGCGCGCAGTGCTTACAAACGATAAAATTTGTTGTGACGATACGTGTCTGGATAATCGTGTGTGCAGGGAAGGGCGAATTCCCGCCATTGAGGAATCGACGTTCAAACAGCACAGTTCGGTCTATTGTCATGACTTTTTTGCTGATCGAGGCTATAACACTGAATCGTTAAAATATGACTGCAAGGGAAAATGTGAAACTAATTTGTCTGTGAACTTTACAATGTTCGATGTCAGTTCACAAAAGACATTTTATCATCAAGCCGTTACTTGCCACGAATCTGAACTTAATGCCTGTAAAATGGAATTTGGGCGGTAAAATCAATTTTATAGGAATTTTATAGGAAGTTCGGCAAATCAGTGATTGACTTGTAATTTTTACGACATTCGGCAAATTAGTGATTCACTTGTAATATTACCGAGTTCGGTGAATATAAAAATTTACTTGTAACATCATAAGAAGTTCAGTAAATCAGTGATACAAATTACTTGTGATATTGCCAAGTTAGGTGAATATAAAAAATTACTTGTGACTTCATACGTAGTTCGGCAAATCATTGATATAATTTACTTGTAATATGGCCGGTGACATACGAAGGTCGGCAAATTAGTGGTACAATTTACATGCAACATTGCCGAGTTCGGTGAATAAACCAATCAAATTATCAATCAATAGATTTACTATGTTTGAGGAATCATCTAAACAGTCAACTAGTAAAGTTTGTTGAATAAATCATAGACATTTCAACTGTCACGTCACGTTACTGGACTTTTAGACACGTGTGCAAGGATTTCTTTTGAAATTATGTCGAACCGGTTTCAAATTACAATTGTGGAATATGACTAAAAGGGTATTGAAAATGTGTTTTGCTAATGGATAAGAAACGGGTCAAAAGCGTTCTTATGCGAGTAAAGATATTATTGCTCAGAATTCAGCAATTTTTGGAAGCATTCCTTGTGATTACCTCCCTTATCTCATTAACGACGTCATCAAATACAGTATATTATGTACTGTATACTGTCATATAACAGACGTTGGATTATTTATACATATTTCATTTATATTAATAGCTTGTGCAGTGGCGGTGCCAGAGGGGTGTCACCAACCCACTCTTGACACCCAACCACCCTTGTTACATCCACCCACCCACCCTTTTTCCACCATTCAAAGCTATTCGTATCCCAATTCCATGAGCCCATCTTTCTTTTTTTTCTGATCGATGCTAATATGCAATTGTGTTCCTTATCCAGGATATACACCAAACCACGTATTCTCCTTAAATTTGTGAAGTTCTTCGACTCAGGACTCCTTTCCCAATTATCCTGGAAAAGCCTGGCGACGCCACTGTCTTATGTCACAGCTCTCGACATTTATATTATTTAGGTAGAATCCATTGTTCTTGCTACACTCAAACATTAAAACACCTTCACATCATAATATTTATATACATTCTCGTTCCCGATAAATGAGTATATATAGTTTCATGTCTACAGCTTTCGATTTCTACTATTGGCAACCAGTCCATGGCGATTGCTCCTGTAATCTGGAAAAACCTATATATAAGTGTGTTGAATGCAAATCAGTATAATTACATGTCATACTAGGTTCTTCCATTTGAAAAACTTCCAACAGGGAAAAGTTTCACACTTTAACATTTTTAACTGAAGGAGAAAACCCTATGGGTCTAACTCAATTTTTCACCAGAATATGACTTACTAGGTATTTCCAGATTACAGGGGATTGACAGGCTCACACCACGCTATTTTTAGCAATAGTTTTCATTGCGGAAATAACAGATGGCGATTTAATCATCAGTTCTTAATTTACAAATACATACGACTGCCTCATTGTAATCAGATTTATACAGTGACGTGTAGGGAGAGGTGAGGGAGAGGTGTGGGAGAGGTGTGGGGTGGGGCGGAGTACAAGCTGCATTGAATGTGGATCAGTGTTTTATTAAGCCAGAGAACCTAAAGTAGTTTTCTGAAAAGAGTGCTCATTTCGGGCGCCAAACTTAAAGATACATTATGTAAGAGGTAAATCTGTCAGTTGCAGTTTTGGCTATCAATGATATAACTAAATGAGACATTTATTAACAAGTCCATGATCAACTCTTTAGACAATCGGATGGTCGTGATTTTAAACGGATTGAAACACAATCGCCATTTAATACTTTAATATATTATCGTAACAACGGTTCTTGACAATCGCGATTATATCGTGAAACCTTCAACCACGAATACGGTATTTTGACAGAAATTTCATCTCTTTATCAAATGTTACATAATGCATATTTAATTAATTTGGCTGGTATATATTTAATTTGAATAAAAGGTAAATTTAATTTTTTATATTTAAAATGGCTTCCTTTCTCAGCAATAGGCCCTTTGATTCATGCAGTTGGTCCCCAGCTTCACCTAACCTCTCTGCACGCCACTAAATTTATAATGCAACGTTGAAATCCAGCATAATATAGTTAATATTTATTTATATATTAATTGTCGTTTTTCTTATCATCTTTTAAAGTGCTAATGATTTGTACATATTGAATATATATTTGTTGTATTTGAATGAGTGTATTAAATTGATTTAATGTTTATTGGTTTTCGTTTTGTGGAATGGTAACATGTGTGTTTATGACACAGGCTTTAAGTAGCTCAGTCTTTAACTCAGTATCATCCACAGTCTTCGACATAGAAAACACGACTTATTGGTCAATTTAAATCAACACTGATGTTGTGATCATACCGTGAAAAAAAATGAATGAATGAAATATGGTTTTATGGCATTGGCTCGTCAGCTCCAACTGAGCTATATTGCGCCAAACTACCGTGAAAAGATGGACTCTGGTATCCAATATTGAAGGCACAGTGAAAATTTTAAACTTGGCCCTTGCAGAATGCTTTCGAGCGCCATTTGTAATGAAGTGAGTGGATGAACAAGACTAAAGATATCCCACAAAGGGGGGGAGGGCTACCTGAGTAGACTGGAATATCCAGACGCCAAAGACTGCCATTCAATTTGCACTCTTCACGTATTTCGCCGAATATAACTGATTAGAAATTGCAGTAAAAACAGAAATGATTGAATGTATATCAGTATATTATTATATGCGTTGTGGCCCATTTATATCCATTTGTAGGTGCCACGGAACAGCGATTAAGCTCCTTTAACAACTAGAATTGCTAGTGATTCAATTCGGCTAGGTCATTTTAGAATTAACATGGTGTATTTTTGCGACACTGGCCTTATGTGCGCCTACACGTTGGTGTGCATATAAAGGGACCCCTGACAGCTCGTTGGAATTTGAAAAAATAGAGTAAGCCGTAGCGCACCTATCCGGGCAAAAATTAATCCATAGCACACTATATGGCGTATGCCTGTCTTTATTTGTCCGGACGTTAAACCCCATTTCATACTGATGTACGATAAAAACTGTATCAATGACATTTAGTAGGCTAATTTAACTAGAAATGGAGGGGAGAGAGAGAGAGAAATGGGGTTTAACGTCCACTCGACACAAACTAGGTCATTTCGGGACTAACATATTCACATTTAACCATTGTAATAACATATTTGCTAATACGCATTGATATGTACATTCGAGACGTAGTGATCCAAGGGAGGGAACTACCATAATAAAATCAAATGCTTGCAGTATGGCCTTTTTTATAAAGGGGACTTCAACCTACCTATTAATAATTGTATACCAGAAAATACAAAAGCTGTACATACAAAATACAAATCCGTTCCATGTTTTATATAGAATATACGTCATCTCATTTCAAACTTTTCTGATTAAATTATAACAATAACTTATAAAGCAACGCACCACACCGCGTATACTGTATTACATGTAAGTACTAAAGTAGGCCCTATGGCCACTCTTCATTTCCATCATGTTTCCATCTTTAAATGATGAATAAATCGTAATTAATGAAATAATATGTCGGACTAAAAAGAAAATATAGACTTTCGGACCATACACAATAAAAAGTTGTCTTACCAATAGGCAATTATTCGAATCTGTCGTGAATTACAGCCATCTCAATTTTTCTGGAAAACACGAGTTCTTTCCCTTGGTATGGATGGAAATCCCCCGACGATGACATCATTGTTATGGAACCAGACTCCTGTCCTAGCCAATCGCAATCCTTGTTTATGTAATAGACGTTATACATTGCTTTCTTGAACATCCGATTAAAGTGACAATCCGTGCAAACATTCCAGAGTATTCCGGCCTATTCATGCACGACTTTGGCAATGGTGCATCCCGGAGAAAAATTGCGTATCCAGGCTTTCTTTGTGTTCTTCGTATTAAAAATAAAAACTGTATCAATGACATTTAGTAGGCTAATTTAACTAGAAATGGAGGGGAGAGAGAGAGAGAAATGGGGTTTAACGTCCACTCGACACAAACTAGGTCATTTCGGGACTAACATATTCACATTTAACCATTGTAATAACATATTTGCTAATACGCATTGATATGTACATTCGAGACGTAGTGATCCAAGGGAGGGAACTACCATAATAAAATCAAATGCTTGCAGTATGGCCTTTTTTATAAAGGGGACTTCAACCTACCTATTAATAATTGTATACCAGAAAATACAAAAGCTGTACATACAAAATACAAATCCGTTCCATGTTTTATATAGAATATACGTCATCTCATTTCAAACTTTTCTGATTAAATTATAACAATAACTTATAAAGCAACGCACCACACCGCGTATACTGTATTACATGTAAGTACTAAAGTAGGCCCTATGGCCACTCTTCATTTCCATCATGTTTCCATCTTTAAATGATGAATAAATCGTAATTAATGAAATAATATGTCGGACTAAAAAGAAAATATAGACTTTCGGACCATACACAATAAAAAGTTGTCTTACCAATAGGCAATTATTCGAATCTGTCGTGAATTACAGCCATCTCAATTTTTCTGGAAAACACGAGTTCTTTCCCTTGGTATGGATGGAAATCCCCCGACGATGACATCATTGTTATGGAACCAGACTCCTGTCCTAGCCAATCGCAATCCTTGTTTATGTAATAGACGTTATACATTGCTTTCTTGAACATCCGATTAAAGTGACAATCCGTGCAAACATTCCAGAGTATTCCGGCCTATTCATGCACGACTTTGGCAATGGTGCATCCCGGAGAAAAATTGCGTATCCAGGCTTTCTTTGTGTTCTTCGTATTAAAAATAAGTAATTGCGTACATTTGTCACCCGAATTTTCTGAATGAATCAATCATTAACAACTAAAACGAATTTTCCACAAAGCTGTGATGGTTGTTTATTTTTAATTAATTACACAACAATATAATTTTAACATGTTAAAGGGCCAATCCCGATAATATTTTGGAGAATAAAACTTCTTAATTTTGTATTAAAATCTCTTAAAATCCTCTACCTCAGAGCCGAGCAACTATCTCAATATACGTGATACGTTTTCAAACAACTTAAAACGGTCAGTCTTCATCTGGAAATGGAGACCGGTGTCCTAAACTGTATTATGCTGTGTCTGGAAAAATCAGACTTTTATTTTATAAAAATAATGTGTAGGTGAAATTTACCTTTCGTTATCAAGTACAACGCATGGTTCATTCACTGTATAGACCTCTAAAGGACCCGGAATCGATTATCAGGTCACCCAACGAAAAAATTGACCCGAAACCTTAAAAGGGTTACGTGTCCGGATAAGCAGTTTTGACGTTCACGTCCAAACGACTCAATATTTTGAGCTGAAAGTTTGAGACAAGGTAAATACATCATTCCTCTATATTTGGGCGCTTCAATTTCATATATTCTCGGACTTTTATTTTTGAGACTCTAGTCAAAATGGGATAGTCCCTTTAAGCAAAAAACTACTTAATGCTCCTCATTCTCTGATCGAATGGGGTGGGGGATAGGGGACTACGCCTGTGGGGATCTTTTCAGATAAATACTGCTGACACCAACAATATATGCAGGTAGTTGATATCATAATAGGTTAGATAATATCAGATATAAACATAACCATCCTGATGTTATTGTACTTGCAGTTGGTAAAGTAATAAGGAATAGTCTACATAATGAAAAGACAGACTGGAAAATAATTTTGCAGCACGGTCGATAGGGTTATTTTGCAGATTTTATTTAAAGATACATTATGTAAGATTTAGATAAAGCGGAGCGCTGATCGTTCTTGGTGTTCAAAAACAGATAATGCCAAATGAATATATTGAAAATTTCATTCAAATTACTTTATTCTGAGCAAAGTTATCAGTGTTGACATCCATGTAGCATAGACTGTTTCAATATCGTAGCAACGTTACTTGACAATCGAGACTAAGTCTCTATTTACCATCTTTAAATTAATTTATTAAATGGCAATCGTGTTTCAATGTATTTAAATCTGGTCATCTGATGATCTAGAGGATTGATTATAGGCTTGTCACGTAAATAAATATCTGAATGATAATTTATAACATTTGAAGCTAAAAATAAAGACCTGCAAAAGGCAGATTTAGCTAAACATACACCTCATCTTTAAATAACCTTTCTAAAAGTGTTGGACCAGCCGGTATCGGGTTATCAGGGTTTTTCGCCGGGGATGGGGTATAGTTCGGAGACTGCTTCTTTAAATGGGGTTTTTTTTTTTCTTACATTGGAAATTTGCGAACAAAAACAATATGCAACATTCCGTAATAGATACCATCTGCGTAGGCTATGATTAATTATACTTTAGCTTTAAAGACCGTCTCTCGCAGCTCCTCTATCTATTTTTGTTGGTTTTTTAAAGACATACATAACATGAATATTATATAATGACCTTGTCATTTTTCTATAGATAGAGATTATTAAAATGAATTCGATGGACCCAGGGATTGCGTTTACTTAATTCATTATTTAACATGGCTACGTGGTTGTATAAACATTTCTAGGGAAATGAATTCGAGAATATTTAGAAGTGATTTGACCTTTAAACTAGAACCTGGAACGGTGTCAAGGTGGTAAACAACGAAGTTATTAAAATTTATTACTTACTCAGCCAGATTTTTCTCGAAACCACGAGTTGCTTCCCTTAGATGGAAATCCCCTACTATGACATAATTGTTGTAAGATTATACACGTTTTAGCCAATCGTTGCCTTTGTTTACGTAATAGATAAAGCTACCCAGTACTTGAATATGGATGAACGTTCCGGAATTTTCTCGTCATTTCAAGACTTTTGCATTAGGGGTATAAAACAGCTTGAAAATGCAAAGCGGCAGAAATTATTGAACAAGCTCACAGACGACTAGTGAAAGTTTACGACTATTTATAACTAGAGAGACAAAAGCTTATAGCTAGAAATCACAAACAGTGAAAGGAGAACTTTGTATTTACGACTTAAAGGTGCATTTGAAGAACATTTTACATAGAGTCAGAAGTAAAAATAAATCACAAAATGCCTGCCAAGGAAATAGCAGTCGGAATTGATTTAGGAACAACGTATTCCTGCGTCGGTGTATTCCAGCATGGCAAAGTGGAAATCATCGCCAACGACCAAGGTAACCGCACAACTCCAAGTTACGTTGCATTCACGGATTCTGAGAGACTCATAGGCGATGCTGCAAAAAACCAAGTTGCCTTAAATCCAAGTAACACAATTTTCGATGCTAAACGACTCATTGGAAGAAAATTCACTGATGACACTGTACAGAAGGATATGAAACACTGGCCTTTCAAAGTTATTAGTGATGGGGGCAAACCGAAAGTACAAGCCGAATATAAAAATGAAATGAAAATTTTCTCCCCAGAAGAAATCAGCTCCATGGTTTTGACCAAAATGAAAGAAACCGCCGAAGCCTATATGGGCCAGAAGATTAAATCTGCAGTTATTACTGTGCCTGCATATTTTAATGACTCTCAGAGACAGGCTACCAAAGATGCAGGCGCCATTGCCGGTCTCAATGTTTTGAGAATCATCAATGAACCAACTGCCGCAGCTTTAGCCTATGGATTAGACAAAAACCTAGGAGGAGAGAAAAATGTTTTGATATTTGATCTTGGAGGTGGAACCTTTGATGTGTCCATTTTAACCATTGATGAAGGGTCTTTGTTTGAAGTCAAATCGACGGCAGGAGATACCCATCTTGGAGGAGAAGATTTTGATCAGAGAATGGTACAGCATTTTATACAAGAATTCCAAAGAAAGTACAAAAAAGACATGTCCAAAAATTCCAGAGCTTTACGACGGCTGAGAACGAGCTGCGAAAGAGCTAAACGAACTCTTTCCAGCAGTGCTGAAGCCAGTATTGAGATAGATTCACTGTTTGAAGGAATTGACTTTTACACAAAGATTTCGCGAGCAAGATTTGAAGACTTGTGCTCTGACTTGTTCCGTGGCACTATGGAACCAGTGGAGAAAGCTTTGAATGATGCAAAATTGGATAAATCCAAAATTCACGAAGTTGTGCTGGTTGGAGGATCTACCAGAATCCCTAAGATTCAGAAACTTCTCCAAGATTTTATGAATGGAAAAGAATTGAACAAATCTATCAATCCCGATGAAGCTGTAGCATATGGTGCTGCTGTCCAAGCGGCTATCCTAACTGGAGACACTAGTGATGCTATCAAAGATGTACTGTTGGTCGATGTGGCACCTCTTTCCCTTGGAATTGAAACAGCTGGTGGAGTCATGACGAAACTTATTGAACGCAATACCAGAATCCCTGCAAAAGCTAGCAACACCTTTACAACTTATTCAGATAACCAGCCCGGTGTCTCTATTCAGGTATTTGAAGGTGAAAGAGCTATGACCAAAGACAACAACCAGTTAGGAAAATTTGAGCTCTCAGGAATTCCTCCAGCACCCAGAGGTGTTCCCCAGATTGATGTTACCTTTGACATTGATGCCAACGGAATCTTAAATGTGTCTGCAGTGGACAAGAGTACTGGTAAATCCAATAAAATCACCATTACAAATAATAAAGGAAGATTAAGTCGGGAGGAGATTGAACGAATGGTAAACGAAGCTGAGAAATACAAGGACGAAGATGAAAAACAGAGAGCAAAAATGACTGCTAGAAATCAACTCGAATCCTATGTGTACTCTATTAAACAAGCTGTTGATGATGCAGGAGTTAAATTAGACTCCGGGGACAAAGACGCTGTTACAAAAGCATGTGATGACACCATTAAATGGTTAGATCAAAACGCTTTAGCTGATGTGGATGAATATGACTATAAGAAAAATGAACTTCAGAAAGTCTGTTCTCCTGTCATGAGTAAACTACATGGCCAGAGTGCTGGTGGACAAGGTGGACAGGGACAGCACCAATCTGGTGGTGGTCAGGGACCTACAGTTGAAGAAGTGGACTAAGTGCTAGAACTGTGTTGATAAACAAATATATATATATATGTGTGTGTGTATATTGTGCTAGAACTGTGTTGATTTATCCCTGTATTGTGCTACTTGTTAGCCTATATGTGATATAATAGGCTTCCATGCCAGATCTGTTTAATATTCAGTATTAATATTACAAACTTGACCTATTGTGTCAATAAACCTCATGTGATAGTGAAAACCAACAGGAGGACAATTTTGCTCATTATATTATACCAATGGTATGAAGAACTTTACCAGTATGTGATATAGTGCTTTTTGTATGGATTGTGAATGTTACAATGTATATAGTTTGTTCAATATTAGATCTTTGTTATTGTCAATTCAAAGTTCAATTGAAAAGTTTTAAAACTATTTATGTCAAGGTCTGACATTTAATTCTTTGATTTTGTGCCAAGCAAATTGTTACAATAAAACGCATTAATTACAAATTAACTGGTTTTTGATCAATTCTGTTAGTATTTACCTGCAACCATAGGCAAAGAGAGAAATGGGGGTTTAATGTCCACTTGACACAAACTAGACTAGGTCGATTTTACCACTAACTTATGGTACATTTCTCAATAATTAGTTTGCACTTAAGGGTCTTTAGCATTGGGTATGGGGGGGGCAAGAAGTTAGGAAGTCGACACTACTCCTTGTCACGTTTCAAGCTTGAGATCGCTACCACGCCACTCGCCACCCAAAGCCCAGGGTCGTAACTAGCTCAGAGCAACGAAGGGGATTGGAATGTATATTTATGTTTTTATGGTTGACAATTTTTTCACAGTGGGGGGGACGGGGTCACGAAACTTTTTGCAGCCCCCCCCCCCTTAGGTACGGACCTGTTAAACCCTCTACACACCAGGCAAGACAGAGACAAGTGAATGACAGTTGGCATATCAACTTAATATCAATGAGGATAAACATTTTGATGCAGAACATGCTTTTTCCCCCCAACTTCTCTCCTGTTATTTAGAAGTGAAACAGAGATGCATCTAGTCCAATCCCTCCCTTCTCGCTGGAAATATTGTTCTACTTGCAAACCCAAGGAAGCACGTTAAAGATCCCCTTAAAGTTAGAAATGAAAATAAAAGTTGGTAATGCTGCTGCCGATCAGAGCATGAAATGAAATGGAGTTTAACGTCCTACTGTTCTGCTCCGAACTGGGCTAATGAAGACCGGCATACGCCATACAGTGTGCTATGAGGGAAATTTTGCCCCGACAGCAGCACTACCGCCTACTCTTATATCGAATTCCAACTGTCAAGGGATCTGTTACATGCACGCAAATGTGTACACGGGACCTCGGTTTTCCGTCCCATCCGAATCACTAGACAGCTGTCTTTATCAGGTCCTCCCGTCCAGTATCATGTCGGAAAATCTGGATAAACTTTTTCGGCCAATGCAGGGATCGAACACCCGACCTCCAGGCTAGCAAGCCAGTAGCCTATCTTACCCACTTAGTGACCGTGACACACCCCCCTTCCATCAGAGTACACTGCATGGCATATACCGGTACCTGTTTTTCATTATTCTAGTTGGTGCAAAACAGTGAGATGTGAAACCCTGTTTAAAATTTTTTAGACAAAGACAATGGAACTTTCAACAGATGTGTGTTTTATGTCGGGTATATGTCCACGTGTTTGGTTTCTGCGCTTAGTTTTTGTTCGAATGCTGTGTGTGGTGAGGTTCTCTTGTACTTATAATCGTAATAATAAATATGTAGTCCATAAACATATATATTCAAACCATAAGATTTGTCTTCAAATGTTATATTGAGCACGATTTAAGCCATTTCAAGAGTTGCTTCCAATACAATACTGTAAACGGTTGGTCGCATGGGCAGTAACTTCTCTATGTCCAAGTTTTGTTCGGCTTTTTTTTTGGTTTTTTTAGCTTACTATGCAGTTCCTCTGCGCAAAAACATTCCGACAATATGTATTCCTTGCATCCATGTTGATTTTTTTAATAATTTTTTTTACCACACTTTATAACCGTTTCATAGTAAGTTAAAGACACATTAGTTAAGAGTTAAATATGCACTTAGTCTTTCTATAGGCTTCAAATGTTATAGAAATTATTAATAAGACCTTTATTTACATAACGAGTCTGACATCAACTCTGTAGACCCTTGGCTCGATTGGATACAGCTTGGCTTTAAACAGTCGCCCATTTAATAACTAAATCATTAAATGACTGACCAAGATAAGGTTTACCGTTAATCACCGACATCACTACCGGAGTCTGCCAATGAAAGGACTGATAATCGAGGGTACCATAGGCATCGCAAATGTTATTAGATAATTGAGAATATGTGGGTGGAGTTATCGTCTGCCAATCAAACGATCGGCAATAGTCGGGGACGGTGCGGAGACAGTTGATGCTTATTTCTCATCCAAAATTGCAACAATGATAACTTCGTTCAAAATAAAGTAATTTGACTGAAATTTTCAATATTTTCTCTTTTTATGATCTATTTTTTAACTGTTATATCAATAATGGCCAACTCTTTATTAAAATCTTAACTAATGTATTTTTAATATTTCGTTTCGGCTACATATATTTACGCGATGGAATTTGAATAACTATTGGCATTGCAGACGACGTGCACTGATCTCTATAAATAATAGAGATCAGTGACGATCATCCAAGCAGGAGACGGGTACCTGGGTACCTGGGTAATGTGACAACCACTGACAACAGGTAGGATATCGTTATGCCATTTTTATAGTTTTCTGTCCGAAAATGTTACGTTAGCGTTTTTGGTACGTAGTGGGCGTGACCCAGACGGACAGTGATTTCTTTCGATTTTGACAGATTACCTGTGTAGCACAACACTGGATCATTGTAAATAATGCACAAAGGGTGATTCCTTTTGGAACTGGCGGTCTATAGCATTGGCCTTCATTGAGCAGTTCCTGATGAGCCGTATTAACTCAGCGAAACACCACACCTTTTGATGGATCATGAAGCTTCATTTTTTGCTAGGCCTACTTTTCACTTTTTATTTATTATGCAGATCTGATAAGGTCATGTTGATACCAATTTAAAGTGTACCGTATATTTACAATAAATAAGACAACTGGCAAAGCAACAAGTTTTAAAAAAATACATGTAACACAAAGTATTTGACAAATTTTATTAATATTTACAGAATTTACAAGATGGCAAAGCCTAAAAACTACCGTTCCACACTGAAAGAAACCAATCCACAGAAGTATGCAGAATACCTGGAAAAACAAAAAACTAGAGCTAAAGTATACCGTCAAAAGGTAAAAAGACTTTCAGAAGAAGGCGACAAAAAGATGCAAAAAATTGCTGATGTAAGCAGACAAAAAACAGTAGAATGAGTTCAGAAGTTTCGAGCTGCAAAGAAAACCACTGACAACCACTTTGCAACCGCTTGTAGTCAAATTGCCACTTCCAAGATTCACTGGCACAAGAAAAAAACGTAAATGATAGACGTGAATATTGGAGGGAGTATAAAAAAGGTTACAGAAGTCGGTTAGAGCCCCAAAAATTATGCAGAATAAGAGAGAAAGAGAAGGAGAACGCTAGATCGGAGACGGTGCTGCACATGTGACGTCATATGTGGATTTGTGCGTTAGGGTAAGGGTTAGACTTGGTCCCGGGTTAGGGTTAGCGCTGGCCCTGTTTACATCTCGAGACTTTGACGAAGTCTGCACGTCCTAACCCTAACCCACACTCCACATATGACGTCATATCTGCTAAAATGTGCAGGGCCGTCGCCGATCTAGCGTTCTTCGAAAGATATGAAATGGGGTTTAACGTCCTACTGTTCTGCTCCTTAACTGGGCTAATGAAGACGGGCATACGCCATACAGTGTGCTATGAGTGAAATTTTGCCCGGGCAGCAGCGCTACGGCCTACTCTTATATCGAATCCCAACTGCCAAGGGATCTTTTACGTGCATGTCAATATGTACACGGGACCTCGGTTTTTCATCCCATGCGAACACCTAGACAGCTGTCCTTGTCAGGCCCTCCGTCCTGCATCACTGACAAGGGGAAACCACGGCGGAAAATCTGGATGAACTTTCTCGGCCAATGCAGGGATCGAACACCCGACCTCCAGGCTAGCGAGCCAGCATCTTACCCACATAGCCACAAGGAAAATAAATAATTAAACGGAAAAGGAAACAAAATGACAACGACAGCTAACAGTCAATTCTTACAAAGTAAAAAAAATACAATTTAAAAAATCACCTGTAGTAAGGTGAAGAAATCATAACCCCAAGTACCTTGGAAGTTTGCGGAAGTTGTCACAAATATTGTAGAATCAGCTTCACCAAGAAAGTGTATAGCCTTTTTTGATCTGTTAACTAAAAATGAAAATAACCAAATTGATATCTTGAAAACATTTCAACCCTTGTACACAAGTACAAAAATGGCTGCAACAAAAGTCCTTGAACAGTACTTCAGTCAACGCAAACTAAGTAAACATTTTACAACATAAATCGTCAAACAGTTTCAAAATTTATCAAAATTGGGGGTACATGTAGTTCAAAATGCAAGTTCAGAAGAAGAAAGTATAATTCATCATCCATTCAAATAGACATTTCACGCCTTATGCCAGAAAAAGGATATACAACAAAATACAGACCTGGGTAGATAATGCAGATGACACTTAAATCTGCCTATTGTATGTTCAGAAAAGAGTTTGACAGTCCCGTATCCTACACAATATTCTGTTCTCTGAGGCCCAAAAATGTTCGATGACTATGCATGACAAGTCGCGAATAGTGCTATTTGTGTGTAAACATATACAATAGAGAGAGGAAGATGGGGTTTAACATCCACTTGCACAAACTAGGTTATTTCAGGACTAAGATATGGTTCAATTTTATTTCAATCATTTGCTTGCGTGTAGGGGTCTTTAGTGGGAGGAAACCGGAGAAAACCCATGAAGTTGGACAGGCGACCCAACTCCTTGTCACATACAACCAGGGAATCAAAACCACTCCAGTTGACTCAATTACAGACCTTATGATACATGATGCGATGCATCAGGTGTGAATCCGTCATAAGATTGCAATGTGAATCAAGAGATGGATAAATAGGTTTTATTCATTTATTGGCATGAAAATGCTGTAAATGTTAATTGACAGTATGAGTTTTGACCAATTAGATTGTTATAATAAATTTATATTTAATGAAGTAAAATTGAGTTTGTTGTTGTAAATTAGGGCTGTGATGAAATTTTTGACATTGTTGGATGTGTTAGGACTATGATCAATCACCCCTCGACTGGTCAAATGTGTGCGCTTTAGATCATAAGTTCTGTCGTTCAGTCGGTACATGACAATCGAGAATAGTCTTGATTCACCATTTTAAAATTAAATTATATTGTCTTTCAATCCAATTATATCTCGGCCATCCGATGGTCTAGAGAGTCTATTATAGGGTTGGTACTGAATAATTGTCTAAATAATATTTGAAGCTAAAATAAAGACCTGCAAAAGCCAGATATAGCTCTTACATAATGCATCTTTAACTTTTAATAATATATATACCTCATCTTTAAATAACCTTTCTAAATGTATGACTACTTAGTCTGTGTTTCGTGTCGTGTCGTGTCGCGTTGGGGGGGGGGCGGAAGAGAGACTGATATTTTTTTTTAAAGTTTTTTACATTGGAAAGTTGCTAACAATAACAACGTTATAACCCACTTGCGCTAACAATAACAACGTTATAACCCACTTGCTATAGTAAACATACAACACAACATTCCTTACTTAATAGATACTATCTTTGTAGGCTATGATTAATTATTACTTATGTTTAAAGGCCGCCCGTCGCAGCTGCACGGTTTAGTTTTGTGTGTTTCACTGTTTCAGTGTTTGTTAAAGACGTAGGCCTACACAAAAGGTCTATAGAGTTAATAGAGATTAGTTAGAATTTAAAGGAGCTAAGTCGCTAATATTTGGGATCTAGAAATTGACACAAATGGGTCGCAACGCAAATAATAATGTAATATGAATGTATATAAACTGATTTACATTCAATCGTTTCCGTTTTTACCCTAATTTCAAATCAGTTATGTTTGGGGAAATACACCAGAAGTCTCAATCGAATGGCAATCTCTAGCGTCTGGTTATTAAATGCGCATGCTCTCCAGATAAGAATATGACGTCACCGTTTGACATGACTTGTGGAATATGTCTAGCCTTGTTCTTCGAGTTCCGTGTTACAAATGGCGCTGAAACGCATTATGGTACACGATTCGTGTACCAATGGTAAAATGTTTATTTTGTCTTAAATATTGGATATCAGAAGCCCATCTTTTCCCGGTAAGATCAGAACATCAATGTTGATCTAAATTGACAAATAATTCGTGTTTTCAATGTTGAAGACTTTGGATGATATTGAGTTAGAGACTAAGCTATTTTAATCGATGGGTCGTGTATACTTAATTCAATAATTAACATGGATACGGTGGATGTATATACATTTGTGGAGAAATTATTTCCAGAATAAATTAACTTGTGAATGTGATCTGACCTTTAAACCAGAACCTGGAACGGTTTCAAAGTAGTAAACAACAAAGTTATTTGTCGTTCACCGAGCTAGATTTTTCTCGAAACCACGAGTTGTTTCCCTTAGATGGAAATCCCCTACTATGACATCATCGTTGTTAGATCAGACATGTTCTAGCCAATCGGTGCCTTTGTTTACGTAATAGATAAAGAACCACCGCGCTTGAATATGCATGAACGTTCCAGAATATTCCTGTCTATTCCTGTCTATTCAAGACTTTTGCATTAAGCATATAAAACCGCTTGTGAATGTAAAGCGGCAGAAATTAGTTAACAAGCGCACAGACGATTTGTGAAAGTTTAAGACAATTCAGAAGAAGAGAGACTAAATCTTAGCTCGAAATCACAAAAAGTGAAAGAAGAACTTTGTATTACGAATACTAGAAACAAATTAAAGTGCATTTTAAGGAAGTTTTTAATATAGACAGAAAAGTGAAAATTACAAAATGCCTGCCAGTGCCAAGGAAATAGCTGTCGGAATTGATTTAGGTACAACGTATTCCTGCGTCGGTGTATTCCAGCATGGCAAAGTGGAAATCATCGCCAACGACCAAGGTAACCGCACAACTCCAAGTTACGTTGCATTCACGGATTCTGAGAGACTCATAGGCGATGCTGCAAAAAACCAAGTTGCCTTAAATCCAAGTAACACAATTTTCGATGCTAAACGACTCATTGGAAGAAAATTCACTGATGACACTGTACAGAAGGATATGAAACACTGGCCTTTCAAAGTTATTAGTGATGGGGGCAAACCGAAAGTACAAGCCGAATATAAAAATGAAATGAAAATTTTCTCCCCAGAAGAAATCAGCTCCATGGTTTTGACCAAGATGAAAGAAACCGCCGAAGCCTATATGGGCCAGAAGATTAAATCTGCAGTTATTACTGTGCCTGCATATTTTAATGACTCTCAGAGACAGGCTACCAAAGATGCAGGCGCCATTGCCGGTCTCAATGTTTTGAGAATCATCAATGAACCAACTGCCGCAGCTTTAGCCTATGGATTAGACAAAAACCTAGCAGGAGAGAAAAACGTTTTGATATTTGATCTTGGAGGTGGAACCTTTGATGTGTCCATTTTAACCATTGATGAAGGGTCTTTGTTTGAAGTCAAATCTACGGCAGGAGATACCCATCTTGGAGGAGAAGATTTTGATCAGAGAATGGTACAGCATTTTATACAAGAATTCCAAAGAAAGTACAAAAAAGACATGTCCAAAAATTCCAGAGCTTTACGACGGCTGAGAACGAGCTGCGAAAGAGCTAAACGAACTCTTTCCAGCAGTGCTGAAGCCAGTATTGAGATAGATTCACTGTTTGAAGGAATTGACTTTTACACAAAGATTTCGCGAGCAAGATTTGAAGACTTGTGCTCTGACTTGTTCCGTGGCACTATGGAACCAGTGGAGAAAGCTTTGAATGATGCAAAATTGGATAAATCCAAAATTCACGAAGTTGTGCTGGTTGGAGGATCTACCAGAATCCCTAAGATTCAGAAACTTCTCCAAGATTTTATGAATGGAAAAGAATTGAACAAATCTATCAATCCCGATGAAGCTGTAGCATATGGTGCTGCTGTCCAAGCGGCTATCCTAACCGGTGACACTAGTGATGCTATCAAAGATGTACTGTTGGTCGATGTGGCACCTCTTTCCCTTGGAATTGAAACAGCTGGTGGAGTCATGACGAAACTTATTGAACGCAATACCAGAATCCCTGCAAAAGCTAGCAACACCTTTACAACTTATTCAGATAACCAGCCTGGTGTCTCTATTCAGGTATTTGAAGGTGAAAGAGCTATGACCAAAGACAACAACCAGTTAGGAAAATTTGAGCTCTCGGGAATTCCTCCAGCACCCAGAGGTGTTCCTCAGATTGATGTTACCTTTGACATTGATGCCAACGGAATCTTAAATGTGTCTGCAGTGGACAAGAGTACTGGTAAATCCAATAAAATCACCATTACAAATAATAAAGGAAGATTAAGTCGGGAGGAGATTGAACGAATGGTAAACGAAGCTGAGAAATACAAGGACGAAGATGAAAAACAGAGAGCAAAAATGACTGCTAGAAATCAACTTGAATCCTATGTGTACTCTATTAAACAAGCTGTTGATGATGCGGGAGTTAAATTAGACTCCGGGGACAAAGACGCTGTTACAAAAGCTTGTGATGACACCATTAAATGGTTAGATCAAAACGCTTTAGCTGATGTGGATGAATATGACTATAAAAAAAATGAACTACAGAAAGTCTGTTCTCCTATCATGAGTAAATTACATGGCCAGAGTGCTGGTGGACAAGGTGGACAGGGACAGCACCAATCTGGTGGTGGTCAGGGACCTACAGTTGAAGAAGTGGACTAAGTGCTCGAACGCCTTTATAAACAAATTATGTGTGTATCGTGCCACTTCTTGTCCTATTTGTGATATAGTATGCTTTCATGCCCGATCTGTTTTATACTCAGTATTAAAATTACAAACTTGACTTATTTTGTCAATAAACCTTATGTGATCGTGAAAACAAACAGGATATGAATTTTGCTCATTTTATTATTTCAATGGTAATGAAGGACTTTACCAGTATGTATTGTATGGACTGAGACTGTTGCAATGTATATAGTTTAGTTTTTGTTCAATGTTCGATCGTTGCGGTTGTTAATTCAAAGTAATTCAATTGTGAATGTTACCGTGTATATAGTTATTGTTTGTTCAATGTTGGATCATTGTTATTGTTAATTTAAAGTTTAACTGAAAAGTTGTAAAAACTATGTATGTCAAGATCTGACATTTAATCCTTTGATTTTGTGCCTAGCAAATTGTTACAATAAAATGGATTAATTACAAAATAACTGTTTTTTGACCAATTTCGCCAGTATTTACCTGCATCCATAGGCAAAGAGAGAAATGGGGTTTAATGTGCACTTGACACAAACTAGACTAGGTGAAGGGTCTTAATCCCTGGGAGAGGATCACAGAAAAGTTTGGATGGCAACCCTACTCTTTGTCACGTTCCAGCTTGGGGTTGAAACCACACCGCTTGACTTAATAATGACAGATCTTACGATTATTGAACATGCCCCCCCCCCCCCCAGGAAAGAAAGAAAAGGATGTAAGTGGTGAATGACATTAGGCCTATCTACTTAATATCAATGAGGATAAACATTTTGATGCGGAACATACTTATCCCCCAACTTCTCTCAATTAATCCAACCCCTCCCTCATCCCTTACCCCCTGCAGACAGCACGTTAAAAATCCCTTTACAGCTGGAATTCAAAATAAGTGTAGATAATTCCCCACAACCAGGCATCAGAGCAAATTTTCCAGTCATAGACACACTGCATGGCATAGTCTATGCCTGTTTTCATTTTTTCTAATTGGTGCGACTATTAAGATGTGAAACCCTATTTAATTTCATCTAGCCAAACGTTTAATGATGGACAAAAAAGGTCTGTCAATTGGATGTTGTGTGTGGTGAGGTTCTCCTGCACTTACTTTTCATTATAACATACGTTATTCAATTGTAATCGCAATAAACTAATGAAAATAAGGTCCATAAAAATACAGTCAAACCGTAAGAATTGTCTGGAAGTGAAATGATCTGGAACACGATTTTTAGCCATACCAGTATCCGGAGTTGCTTCCCATACAATATTATTGCAGCAGTTTGCATGGGAGGTAACTCCTCCATGTCAAAGAGAAAATAAGGGCGTGGTTGAAGTTGTATCCACTCGAACTTGTATTGCATAATAAAAATAGTTAACAATTACACAAAGTTTGTGATGAAAGCCTTTAAGCCTGGCTCACACTACGCGACGACATTGGCGATTTCGGTCTCCGACGATGAAAAATCAAAAACTCGCGATTTTTCGTTTGATATGAACGCCCAAGTCGTCGCTTCGTCGGCAACAAATCGTATAATGTGCTCTACTCGGCCACAAGTTAAGCGACAACCATAAAAATAAATTCACCTATTAAACCAATCATTTTTGGTTATTCTTCTCAAGGGACATATCCACACACAAGGTTTCTCGGATTTTTTATCTGTTGCATATAAGTCAGTGGCTCGGGTAGTCTAATTTAGGCCTAACTAATTGAAATTAAGTTTGCAATTCTGGCACTTATTAAATGTGTGAGCTGTCGTATACATGGTAGGCCCAGTGGATTCTTCCGTTTGAATACCAATATACTTAATAATAATATAATCGTAGGATTCATAGATGGTACTTAGAATGAGCGTTTGGGGGAGGGGGCAGTACCTGTAGCAAGAAAATGGAGGGTGACGTTCAATCACTCTCCTGGGCTTATTGGTTGTCCCATCTCGGTTGTTTGTTTGGTAATGAGGATTAATTATATTTAGGATACTCTGGAATATTTCTGGACTCATGCTCACGTAGCCTATTTTCTATATATACAAGAGTCCCCAGATTTGAGCTCGTTACTTGAATTACTATAAACGCACTGCACTCCACCGGCGTTGAACTAAGAAGGCGATGTCGCCGCATGATCATCATGTAAGAAACAAAAGGTTATTAATTGAATTATTCAACGCGATGACGACTAAAATGCGTCGTGTAGTGTGCTCACTTCACTTATGTTGTGTCGCCAAACCCGTCGCTTAAGTTTTCGCATAGTGTGCGCCAGGCTTTAGTTTAGCCTACAGTTCAGTTCCTAATCGCAAAAGCACGCCGAATGGTTACAACTCATTCATTGCTTTCAAGCTGAATTGGTTTTTCCGCACTTCATACGATTAACCAGGCACGTGACCATGGGGGTCCAGGGAGGGTGGATATTTTTTTTTCTTCTACATTCATCGAATAAACAAATTTGCGAAGCGTTGCCGTAGTTTTGGCCCCACTCCATTCTAATGCTATCATGTGTTCACCTAATAAATGAGCAACAGTATTTTCTCAGAGCTTCTAATTTTATAGTGGGGTTGCTGCAGGGTGCCCGAATGGTTAACGGGTGTGCCTTTAATCATACTGTTGCACATTTTCTCAAAACAATGACACACACTGTGACACACATATTTTTTTTATTCAATTTCCTAAATTCCAAGACCAAATTTGTACAGGAAACTTTTGAAACTAGCGTCAATGTGTCATGCGAGGTCCGTGATCCGAAAAATCTCTATTTTATATAGTTTTAATTATATAAAATAGAGATTTTAAAAAACTTGTATTATGCAAGAGATAAATCTGCCTATTGCAGGTCTTTCTTTGGGCCTGAAAAGTTATCTAAATTATTAACTGGATATTAAATCAACTCTCGGTGCCATCGTTAGTCTGCGATATTTACTGGTTAGCATGCGCGCGCTGTATCATAAGATCTGGCATTGCGTCAATAGGCCCCGTTTCACGAAATTTTAACTAAGATAAAATCCAAATTTTAGTAATTTGATTGGATATATGTAGATTGATTTTAGTGCTAGCCAACAAAATTGAAGTATCTACTAAAATTTGGATTTTATCTTTAGTTACAATTTCGTGAAACAGGGCCCCGGGCAGTGTAATATTGGCATCACGTGTATTCTGTGGCAAACTTGTCCCCATAGCACACTGCATGCATATGTCCGTCTTCATTAAGCCTAACTCAAAATCATATTCCTGAATTTCGATTCCCGGGTTGTACGTGACAAGGAGTGGGGTCGCCTGCCCAACCTCGTGGGTTTTCTCCGGGTCCTCCGGTATCCTCCCACTGCTAAAGAACCCTACGCGCAAGCAAATTATTGAAATAAAATTGTACCATATGTTAGTTCCGAAATTACCTGGTTTGTGTCGAGTGGACGTTAAACCCCATCTCTCTCTCTCTCTCTCTCTCTCTCTCTCTCTCTTATATTCCTGAAGCAATGGCCGGAGAAATCCCTCTCTGGCTATTGCTGGATTGACTTATGATACTCGAGCTTTTGGGGGAATGTGTCTATTCTTCCCGTTCAAATCAAATCTCTCCTAAGTAAAGCAACATGACAGCCCTTCGTTTAATCTGGGGTCTTCCCTAAAACTTTGGACAGTAATTTAAGGTATTAAAAACGGTGAAAGTATTGTTCGTCTCCAAAGAGTATTGTTTACGTTGTAACCGTTAATGGCCTCGTTTGTCACGCAATTAGTTTTTCTGCAATATTTTGCTATGTACTGTTATTTGCTCGTAAAAATTTCATGATTCATGACGTAACATTATGTAAACAATCTGGAGCTCTGTTTAAACCCAAATGACATTGTTACGCAGTTAGGCATTGGTTGTTAATCGGACTAATTTGGAACAGAAATTTGCTTTCATTACAGCAGTGCTTCAGTGGGATAAGGTCTAATGAAACGAAACACTGCGAAGTGTATGGCTCAAAACCCACCGTTTGTTAGGTCGCAGACCAGCCGCAAGTAACTGGGTGAACATTTTGTATGCGCAGGGTCAATAGTCTCTACGGCCAGTCTGTGATCTTCTACGGTGCTGAACACACCCAAGTAGCACGTAGGGGGGGGGGGGCTAGTCGTTAGCTTAGTAGGTGCAGACATGGAAGGCGTTAAACCAGTGGTTCTCAACCTTTTTTTTGCCAACGGCACACTTTGGAACACATGAAAAAATAGCAAAATAAAAACAGAGAGAGGCTAATCATAGACATATATAATGACTCAAACTAAATAAAGAAAAACACAGCTTATCAGTGTACACCAGTGAATACTCATTGGGATCACGTGGTTTTCGCATTTTCTTAGTGTGACGTTCAAAATTTCGCGGCAGACTTAGGCAGATCTCGCGGCACACTGGTTGAGACTCACTGCGTTAAACTCAGTTTTATGCATCGCTTTAAACATACATTATGCAAGAGCCAAATCTGCCTATTACAAGTCTTTATTTAGGCTTCATATGTTATAGAAATTTTTAATTAGACCTTTATTTACATGCCAAGCTCAAAATCAACTCTGTAGACCCGCGGATGGCTTGGATACAGCTTGGATTTAAACAGTCGTCCATTTAAAATAAAATCAAGAAATGGCCGACCAAGCTAACGTTTACCGTTAGTCACTGATGTCAGTACCGGAAACTGGTGATGAAAGGCCTGCCAAGCGACGGTACCATAGCCACTGAGAATGTTACTTGATAATCGAGAATATGTGGGTAGAGTTATCGTCTGTCAATCAAGCGATCGGCAATTTTCGTAGACGGTGCGGGCTCAGTTGATGCCTATTTCTAGTCCAAACTACCACAACTCCGTTCAGAATAAAGTAATTTGACTGAAATTGTAATATTTTATTTTTTATCATCTATTTTTTAATTATTATAGCAAGAATTGCCAACTCTTTATTAAACTCTCAACTATCTTTAAAATGAAATGAAATGAAATGGGGTTTAACGTCCTACTGTTCTGCTCCTATGCTGGGCTAATGAAGACGGGCATACGCCATACAGTGTGCTATGAGGGAAATTTTGCCCGAGCAGCGGCACTATCGCCAAGGGATCTTTTACGTGCATTCCAATGTATACACAGGACCTCGGTTTTTCGTCTCATCCGAAGGACTAGAGAGCTATTCTTGTCAGGCCCTCCGCTCTGCATCACAGACAAGGGGGGATCACGCCGGAAAATCTGGATGAACTTTCTCGGCCAATGCATGGATCGAACACCCGACCACCAGGCTAGCGAACCAGCGTCTTACCCACTTAGCCACGTCATTCCCTTTAACTATCTTTAAAGTATTCCCTAAACTCGTACCCTGTAAAATCCGGGACTGTCTCTTTAATCCAACGATGAAATCAATGTTAAGAAACGGCCCATTTTGTGTCTAGTATATTAAATCAAAATCAAAGAAGATCCGTTCCATCAGTAAATTTTAATATTTTTATAACCGTACGTGTAAACGCAATAGAAGAAAAATAGCGAGCTAGTAAATGAAAATATTCCCACAACAATGTGTTCGCTATGAGAAACCCTAAAATGAAAGGTGGCGTCGGGTTTAAGCATACCTTGCCTCGTGTACAACACCGGTAGCTACCTATAGCTAAATATAGAGTTATCTGTTTCTGTCTACTGTAGTTGTTCGTTAATTATGGGGTCAAGGCTAATGACAAGAAATATGCGATAAATAAGCTTTCTTTAGAAACGTGTTTTTAAAGAAGGTCTATTTTGTGCATCTAGAGTTCACCTCGAAGTAACATTTTAGGATGTCTACGTATAATTTAGAAATAATTTGGAAAGCTTGAGATAGAGGGTGGTGTTAGAACTGTTCTACGCGACCCAGGCTGCAGTCATGGGCTCTTTTACGTGCACACCAATGTGTACATGGGACTTCAGTTGTTCGTACCATCCGAACTACTAGACACTGCTGTTCCTTGCCAGACTCTCCGTCCTGCACCACTGCTACATGTTAAGCGGAAACCACAGTGGTTGGTTAGAATAACCGAAATGTGCATTACACGGACATGAAGATTCTAGTCTAAATAATGTTATTCCCCATTGCTACTCTGTCGTGTTTTATGTGGGTCTAAAATAGTGTGGTACTTTTCAGTGTAACCATTTTCTAAAAACGACGTCAAATCATGCGCATCATTTCATAAAAATTCATGGGTTCCAATACGGAAATTGAGGAACTCGGAAAGTCAGTGATTCGATCCAAAGAAAAGCGCGAATGAATTATCAGATAATTTTTTCCCCCAACAAATCTGTCTAGACTACGTCATCTCTCATTCGTTCAGTAAAACCGGCTTACACTTCTATACATTTTCATTTATATATTATCCCAAATTTACCGTTATAAAACAGTCGCGTGTCAGTGATGACTCGTGTTGGTCGTGCGATCATTTGATGCCCGCGCGCACCTGCAATTCTGTCTTTGTTTACAGAGGGCGCTCCGCCGGAACTGGATTTTTGTTCAGTAGTAACCCAACATGGCGAATAGCCATGACTGGAATATTCATTCTGTGTGTTTATTTTGGATTTTTACGTTATTGTCTAGTGATTCGCATGGAAAAAGGACACAGACATGTAAGTATATTAATTTTCTTAACCCCCTGTATATTTTTCTCATAAGCATAACCATTAGTTTCACTTCAGTGCATTTTATGATCTCGGCTTCACTGAAGCGCGCAAACACAAGACTCAGTGAACGAGACCCGTTGTACGTAGCACGCGTCAAATCATTTCATCTAAAGCCCTGCTAATATCAGTTTGCTTTGAGTTCTTTTATTGCAATTTTACGACGAAATAATAAAGCCGTGGGTTTTATGCAACCGAATGCAAAAGAAATAAAGACGAAGAACATAATCAAACGTAAAATTACGCTTGCAATGTAATCTAACAAAATACGTCTGCCTGTCGCTTCGCATTTATCGAGCGATTTTTGTCGTGTCTTTCATTCGATGATTAAATTTCTCGTAAAACGGTTGACACTGTCACAGTCACTCGATCCACAGTGTTGGAGCTTGTTATTTTTTTGTATTCGGCATTCATTTTGTGGGTCATTTTGCGCTGATGATTTTAATACGATAAATAATTGCAACTTTGTACCTCATAGTGCTCAGTTGCTGTGCGGTATATTTAACTCCGCTGGCATGATATTGGCCCCTTTAACAGGACTGTTACGGTATACCACTTTTACTAAAATACACTAATGACTTATTCATTGCATTAAATCTACACATAATTATTACAAATTACAATAGATGAATACAAATGATAATAAAAATACATGTTCACAAATAAATTATTCAGGATATTTAAATTAATAATTGTCGTTATTTCCAATAAACCAAATCATCTACAAATGAGACAAACATCTGTTGAAAGATCAATATATATAGTCTAAATTCTAGTTCAGTCCTGTATATTTTTAAAAATAACATTTCAATAATTGGCATTATATATATTTCATTAAAAGTTGGCTTGCGTGTAAGAGCATACTACTACTAGACAAGAAATGGTGATCAAAGATTAATAATTTTTATCATACAGTTGATCTGGTTTGTAATTTGTGTAAGGAACATTCAGTAATTAGCATTACATATTTCATTAAAAGTATTAGACATCTATTTCATAAATTCATTTATTAAAAGTAAATGGATACAAGACAAGAATTGATTTGTCATCGTGATAAAAATGATTACATACAATTCTATAGCATATCCAATTTCTGATTAATGTGTAAGATATATGTACATTTAGTAATTGGCATTATTTCATTAAAAGTATTTGATGAAGGAAAGTAGTATATTAGACCTCATTATGACTCCACCATTGTTCAATTTAGTAAGCCCTCCCAAGAGAAATGGCATCTATTATCCTATTCGGAAATAGCCCATGCCGTGCACCCTCCAAAAAAGCCAATCAAATCATTTAGAAGGCTGATATGTAACGATAAAAATAATTGGGCTTTCCATGACTGATCCCGACTGAGACATAAATGATATGTCACGTTGGATAATATTTGAACCTTTTTAAATCGAAATGGATTCACACTTAAGAACTTTTGCAATGAACGGCGGCTGTACAATTTCACAAGATTTAGTCCCGAAGGGTTCCCACATTCTTTATATTTATATCTCATTTCATTCATTAACAGTATTAAAGGTAAACACATACATTGACATTAAAGATACCTTCCCGTATACAAACTGGGTGATTTGATGATATATTTGGATTAAAACTAAAAACATATTCAAACTAATCAATGTGTCAAAATTTTGCTTCAAATCCTTCTCAAAACATTGTATACACCAGGGAATACCCCTGCTATAAAAAATCGATTAAAAGAAGTTATGTTTGTGTCAAGTGACTTCGGTGACGGGGTAACTACATATGTAGCAACGTATGCAAAGCTGGAGGAGAATTCATTGCATATACAAGACGATGTTGTCTTTAAGCGCTGTTCATTTATCATAAATAAATATCCAAGCCTAATTAAATTTCCATTGTTTTTATCTCAGAAACTGTTGTACGTTTAAGCCCATCATCAAATTTATCAACATATACATTGTACATCAAGAGCTTACTAACGCTGAGAGATGAAGACAATCTTCGTGTGCTACCTTTGACGTCACTTGAGCAACCATCCCTAATCGCTGGGTTTCCGGTTAGGAAAACCTTTGCGTTTTGTCCCGTATGCGCTCCACGGGTGTTTTTCAGGGAATCCAGTATTTTTCTAATAAGATTAGATGTTTCTACTTTCCATATATGCCATAACTGCCATACTTTTATTGGAAATAACCACAGGGCCCTTATTCACGAAAACTTAAACTAAGTTACAACCAAAATTTTAAGAAATACTGCAACTTCATTGGATATATGCAAATTGATTTTACTGGTCAGCCAATCGAATTGCAGTATTTCTTAAAATTTCGATTGTATCTTAGTTTAAGTTTTTGTGAATAAGGGCCCTGGATAAATACTTTTGTTGGAAAGTATCTTTAATAAGAGAAGAAATGATGTGGCTTGATCATCAAAAAATATTACACATAATTCTATCTGCTTTCCAATTAGATTAAAGCACATTTATAGGATAGATTTGATCAATAATTAGAAATCGGATGTGTTTTTACGATACCATGTTAATTTCCTGTATGGTATCATGTTATACCTGTAGCATCTGTCCCTTGTATTGTTTTGTAGCTTTGTCATCTTAATCCCCCCCTTATCACAGGTACTAATCAGATCTAATGTGTTTGTCTTCTCAGCATTATCTTGATTAGAATTATGACCCGATATAAATCATCAGGTGTAGGGGTTGATTAAAGGGGTAATTTTAGATTCTACTGCTGGTCATAATAAGATGTATCCTAGGCCTTGGCTTCATAATGGGACCGAGATATAGTTTTTGTCCTGATTTTCGAGAAATAAAAGTTGGAATTAATTTTCTAGATGTTGGGACTTATAGTATCCATATTATACATGTACATCACCAGGGGTGGATCCAGAGGGGAGGGGCGGGTGGGTCCAATCCCCACCTTGCTCAGCTACATAAAAAATAAACTGTTAAACAACACTTTATGAGAAAAGTGTTACCGTGGTGTGCTTTATCCTTTATCACCAGATGGTGGGATGGGATTGGCATTCAAAGCGCGAACTAATGATATAGACATGTGTGATATCACAATTAATGATTTGCATCAATGAAATTGAATCACAATGGGATCCTATTAATTTATTATGATAATTGACATCAAGATTTCTCTTTAAAAAGCTCATTGTGTACAAATGTATATATGCCTGCATTGTCATTTGTCAACAATGAAATTTCCTTAACAGGAGCCTTGCTGCAAAAATTCCTGGATCCGTCCCTGAGCACTTTAAACTTTACTTTGTGGCATAAATGATATTTTTGATTTTAAATTGTTTGTGAGCACTGAAAATATAAAATTCAAAGCAGTATATTTTGGGGGGTTTTCACATGCATTTATTTCCTTAGAACACTACCAGCACTAAAGTACCTTTATTGTAGGGAGAGTAACAGATTTCAGTAAAAAATATTTCAGAAACACAAAAGCTAATTTTAGTTTTAAACTGAATTTTACTCTGTCAGTTTCAATTTTTTTTTTATCTAATTGAAATTGTAAATGCATATGTATACATTAAAGTAGCATCCTGGTTTGGAAATGCCATGGTTTTATTCCTGGATTTCCCCAATAGAATAGTTTTGTTTTCTATTATTACAATTACATGTAGATCAATTCTGAAATGTCAGGGCCATGACAAAGATAAATGATGTTATCTAAACTAGCAGATGTTTTTTTGTTCATGAAAAATTTATATTATATTGAAACTGGGATGTATAAATGGTACATGTATTTAAAAGTACTTTACTCTATGTTAGTCCCAAAATAACCTATTCCCTTTGAGTGGAATTTAATCTCTATTTCTATCTGTTTCTTAATCGCTTTCTGGTTAACAATGAGTAAAGGGATTATGTTAAGGATTATCCTAAGTAAAGGTTGACATCTCAGGTGATGTAATTGACACCTGGATTGATGAAATGTCTAATCAGTAATTATTACACCTTTGATTGAATCAGCAACCTTTCAACTCTGAGTTGTGATTACTTATCTCTTCTTATGTAACAGGCTTAATATCTATTGTTCTATCTACATTAGCAGGCCTGGAAATATTGATTTTACTTGACATGTATTAAAACTATCAACACAGATGAATCATTTCCGACAAAGTCTTAATTTATGTTAAAGGAGCTAAATCTCTATTCTTTGGCACCTAAAAATGGACACAAATGGTTCGCAATATATATAATAATGTAATATGAATGTATAAATTGATTTACATTCAATTGTTTCTGTTTTTACTGTAATTTCTAATCAGTTACGGTTAGCTAAATACGCGAAGAGTCCAAATTGAATGTCTTGTCTATGATATCACCTTAGGTGGAAGTGGACGTAAAACTCTAGAAACGAATGAACGAAATTGAATGTCAGTCTTTGGCGTCTGGTTATTCCCATCCACACTGGTAGTATTCTCCTGTGGGATATGTTTAGCACCATTCATCAAGTCACTTCAGTACAAATATCAGTATAATAAAAGTCTGTGTGCGTATGAAATTTAAGCACCAAAATCTAGAGGAATAGTGTATTTACCTTGTCTCCTAATTTCCGCGCAAAATAATGAGTAGTTTGGATGAAAATATCAAAACCACTTATCCGGGCACGTAACCCTTTTAAAATTTCCGATCAAGTTTTTCATTGGGTGACCTAATAATGTATTGAGTTCCTTTAGAGGACTATACAGTGAATGACATACTTGATAACAAAAGGTAAATTTCACCTACACATTATTTTTATAAAATAAGTGTCTGGATAAAACCAAACTTTTATTTTATAAAAAATAATGTGTATCATACAGCTTGGGACACCAGTCTCCATTTCCAGATGAAGACTGACAGGTTTAAGTTGTTTGAAAACGTATCACGTATATTGAGTTAGTTGCTCTCTCGAGATTGGCCCTTTAATGTCCTGCGTTTCTGCACCAGCTAGGCTAAAGAAGACATA